AATTAGTTATTATTATTAAAAATTATAAAAAAAATACGGTAATTAGCAAAAAATAATGATGTCAGGTTTTTCTTGTATCGTAAAAATATAGCGGTTTTACTCAAATATACATTCTGTGAAAATAAATGTGTGCCTGTTACGGCTCATGATATCATTGAGAGAAAATGGTCGGAAGAACAGCGCAAGATTATGGTAGCCATACACACTACGAGAAATCGTTACGATCAGACTGTACAGTTCGAACGGAACAGTTTATCGTACGTGGCGTACGTATAGGAAACTGTGCAGTTTTATAACATACACGCTACGATTTATCGGTACCGTTCGGACGGTACAGTGTAATCGTAACGATTTCTCGTAGTGTGTATGGCTACCATTAGTTAAAAAGTAATTCAGAATGTGACTGATAAAATTCCACGCGGCCCAGGCAGTAGACGGACTCGAACCCGCACCCTTCGCTATCCGGGCGAATGCACTGACCATTATGCATCCGCGGCCCTGAGGTCCGTGTCGAATTCTTTCCAGCCTTTTTTAAGCTGCGAGGCAGCGCCATCTCTTCGCATTGCAGATAACCCACAATGACAAATAAATTCCTTTAGATTTAAACATCGAGCTGTGCTTAAAAAAAATAAAAATTATAATTCACTATTTTATCGATGAAAACTAAAGTTTAGGAAACATGGACCGCTAGACTGCAGCTGGCTGACTTTAATATTATGCCTGACTGATGTGAAAGAATTTTTGAGGTGTAGATAATTAAGAAATAATACCACGATGTTTTGTCATCCCGGAAAAGTTTATCGTTATGATTTAGTTCTTACATTAAATAAAACTAGTTTTTTACGGATTAATGCACGAAACTTTATTTATTTATTGACGTTTCGCAGCCTTTACAGGCTGCGTCGTCAGAATCAATTTTTTAGTTAATTTTGTCGAGCTACCTTCGAAAGACTTTTATTGAGCGTTTGGTTATTTCATTGTTCGATTTTTAAAGTTTTATTGTCTATCTATGAATTTATTACTAATTTAGTTAATAAAGTACTTTTTTGTAATATTGAATTTATTTATTTGACCCGAACTACCGTAAACTACCACCGGTTACAAAAGTGGGAGACCTTTCTGAGATGAACCGGCGAAACAAACTCAAGAGAGGCTTTCTATCTCCTTCTTATGTTAAATTATGAAAACTAGTTTTATTTAATGAGTGATGTGCGTGAAAACCTTATAAACAAATTAGTTCTTACATTTCAAATGTATTATCTTTTCATCAGTCTATTAATGGCCCCGCAGATGGGGCAAAGGTCTTTTCTATGGATGGAAAAGCGAGTACCCACCCATGGATCCCATGCATGGATCCATCACGTCAGCCCTGTGGATTGGTGCTAACAAGTGTAAATACATTTTAAAGCACGGGCTTCCGTGCTGCTGTCTCGAGCACAAGATATAATTTTTTTAGCTAGCCATCCTGTGTACAGCTAACTTTTTTTATATATAGCTAGGTAGGCAAATGACTCTTCCCCACCTGATGTTAAGTAGTGATAAGTCCAAACGCGAAGATAGCTGGTACAGAAGTTATAATCTGTCACACCAACCATCCTCACCTTGCGCGCCTGCAGAAATGCTTCTTCAAGCCACTCTTAAAAAACCCCATATTGTAGGAAAGGGGAAACATGTGCGCGGGCTATGAATTCCACTTGCGAATGGTATGACAAAGAAATTAGTCACCAAATCTCTTGGTTCGTGTAGGAATAGTGGTAGCATTAAGTCGGTGACTGTGAAAGTTATATAAATCCACATCGCCATTGATTCCCTAATAATCTTGAACATTTGCTGTCAGGCATCATCATCAGGCTTGTATGAAACAAGCCTCAGAATAAACCTTTCCTCAAAACTTAATTTAAATGATGATGAAAACCGCATCGGAATTCTTTACGTGGGTTTAGGAATTAGCGGATATAGACAGACGCTAAAAAAGACTAAATTATATACCCAGCAGACACTAGTGTGTGTAGGCACAAGTTAATAATCTTTTGGGTCTAGTTTGTAGGTCATTGATTACTTAAGAGAAATGAGCGGACGTAGACGAAGATTAAGATAAGGCAAATCTCGTCTGAAAAATCAGAGAGTAGCACAAAATCGGGAGCAGTGGCGTGCATTAGGGGAGACCTATGTCCAGCAGTGGACGAACATGGGTTTATGATGATGATGAAATCTCGTCTATGGTTAATCTTCGTAATTACTCAATCTATGCAAATGGGGTATTTGGCTAATTTTGAATGTAGATAATACTTATTGTTGTGGATAACATTTTCGATTATACAAGCTCTTGATAACATTGGGTTTACAGATAGACTGTTTATTTCGTTCACATAAAGCGCATAAAATGTAACTTTACGTAATACGAGGGCGTTGCAATTCTGCAACGACTCTGACATAATAACGATGCCATCTGCAAATCGTAGGTGTGAAATGTGTTTGCCGTTTATGTTGATAGCGCGGTCCTTCCAGTCCAACAACTTGAAGATATCCTCCAATGCGTTAGTGAACATTTCTGGAGATATAACATCACCCTGTCGCACTTCCCGATGCAAGTTAATATGTTCAGTCTGATACGCATCGTTGCGGCTTCGTAAAGGCTCATCAACACCTATATTAGATATATTGCCAGTCGATTTGGCATCGCTTCAAGGAGTCGAAAACAGACGAAGGCTCGATGCAAGCAAAGGCTTTCTTATAGTCCACGAAAGCAAGATACAGTGGGCGATTGTCAGACCCGTCTTTCCCAGTGGTTCGCGTTCCTGTTAAATCACCAAACGGAAGTCATAGGGGCCCCATTATCCTAATATGCCCAGGGCCTCCAATAGGTCAAAGACGGCACTGACGATTGTACTCTTCTGACTTTTGCACTTTCTGCCGCACTGGATGAATGTGGTCAATGGTACCATAATCACCTCGAAACCCAGTCTGTTGCGGAGATTGGAACTCATCAAGCCTCCGCGCAAGACGGTCCGTTATGACCATTGAAAACATGGCCCAGGAGCGATATTATTTCTTCAAGAAGATTTTGTCACTCTCTTTGAGAAATAAAATGACTACGCTTCTGTGCCACCCTGCGGAACTTTCCCGTTAAAGAGGACAGTATTAAAAAGTTCCTGAAGATCTTTCAATTGAAGAATTCCTCTCGCCGTCACGTGCTTAGTCGTGATACCATCCTCACCTGGGGCTTTTCCATTTTTAAACTGTTGTAGGGCCAACACGATCTCGTTTAAACAGATGTCAGGCACGTCTTCTGTGTGGTGGCGCGTGAGGGTAGCTCTGTGATCCTTTTCTACAGCAAGAGCGGATCCAGCTTTGGCGCCAGGGGGGGGGGGGGGGGGGGGGGGATCATATAGTCGTGGTCAAGTCACAGTGGGTACAGATTGTGAAGTGGGTTCAGATGGACCCAGCCCAGGGGGGAGGGTCAAGACCCCCATGACCCCCTCCCCCCCTGGATCCGCCTTTGCTCTACAGTCGAAATGAGTGCGAGGCATAGAGCTGGCTGTAAAAGCCTACTGGATAAATTGCTTTAATAGTTTATATCTTGAAAAAAAAAACAATAAATAGGCTTAAGCATTGATGTAAAATGCAACTATCAGTGAAGGTAATATGTGTTTATAAATGCCTGCCGTTGTTTGTACCACGCATTTTTGTTTGAAACAAGGAAGTATTAGTCTTTGTATAATTTACAGTATCATTACTTTAACCTTTATATCAATAATGGCCTAACATAAAATGAGGAAAATCGAGTTTTTATATACACAAATAAATTATTTATATTTATTTTTTACTTTAACTACATTCCTGAAATATGTTAGATAATTCTTAGAGCATTCTTTTTGAAACACTCCTGTATAGAAGAAGACTTAAAGTAATTTTATTAGCTTTTACAGTTATTGTTAAAGAAGTTAGTGTCAGGTATGGTGCTCATTTTGGGCAAAAATTAACAGCAATACTCGATCTCATTGAAGTCTTAGTTTCCTACCATCATCAAGAGTAAGCCCTCATAACCAAAAATACTATACATAGGCACTGTAAAAATACAAGATAAAGTAACACAAACCAACAACCTAGACATCCCACATGAGATTAATGTCAAAAATTACTCAATAACGCACTCCACCTTCAAGCTTCATAAGTAATGTGAACATGACAAATTGCACCGAACGGCCTTCAAGTTACCAAATGCTGAACAAAATACTATCAACCTTATTTCATCTATCATTAGATTGAGATATTTGAAACTGTTACACGGAGCTGGCAGTGACCTTGCTGATATTAACCTTGTCGAGAACCTGCTGTACCTTCACACATTAATATCTTTACGCGCTGGTTACTTCCAAGCAAACATCTCCAATAAAATACAAACTAATTTTTACTACATTTTTTGATAATGATAATGATTTTGTGCCAATCTAGATATGAACCTACTTGTGTAAAATAATTGAATCAAATTAATGAAAAATATATGCAACGAAAATGTTTTCCATTTTAATTGTTGTTAGTTAAGTAAATAATATGTATGACTTCAAATAAATAAAGCGAATAAAAGCATTTAAAGAGGTGAAACAATAAATTTCAAGAAGAGAATATGCGAAAAGGTACACCGAATATTAATGTTGAGGACTGTACACTGAGGTGATGGTCACACCAAAGATGCAAAGACTAAGCCATGAGTGGTCGATGTGAGTCTAAGTACGACATGGCTCACGACATCGAGGCAATGTTTAGGTGCGCAATGGACGAGTCGAAGGCAAACGCTAACACCTACGCTGCTGGCTCACAGCCGCACTCGGCCTGGGGGCAGGCAGCCTGGCCGGCTCCGAGCCCGGGTATCGGGCGGGGGGGCGAGGTTGAGGGCAGTGAGCGACAGCAGGTGATGCGCGTGAGAGCGCGCGGGCATGCGCGCACCGACAACCACAAAGCCAATGAGGAGCGATCAGATGTGTTGACTGACGACTCACCGAAATGAGACGTTATATTGCCATGGCCGTTGGCCAGTGGCAAGGCCGTCACCAAGTCTTGCACTAAAAAAACACGACGCTCTTTTAACATGACATCAAAATTAAGCACAACAAATAAAACAAGGTAATTACTTAACAACCACAATTTTGTTGCTTATCAGTTAGCGTCAAATCGCTTTAGATAAGATCACTATGAATAAAATATAGCATTATCAAATTTAGAGGGATTACAAACTTATATTGGGGCAATAAACTGGAATTATGCTTCGAAACATTTTATTACATCTTAATGTTCACTTGATAATCGCTACGGCTACATTTCGGGACTTAATGACCTTATTATCGTCGTATATAGGTCAAACTGATAACAGTAGTGTATTCTGATAAGAATCTTGACAGAACCCGACATAGCTGAATCGACCAACGATTCGCTGTCAATGTTATGCTTGTATTGCCAAGTACGCAATGAAGTAAAATAACATACTTAATTATAGTGTAGGCGCACGCAATATTAGCTAAACTCACCCGAGCTGAAGTGTGACCTCTTGACGTCGCCATTCTCCGAGTCTCCGTCCAGGGGTCGTTTTCTGGAGTCCGTAATTTCCGGACTAGGGCAAGTATCCATTCCTGTGTCAGCGGCCATGTTGAATTTCAGGGCAAAACTTTAAACTTCTGTAGCATAATTCCCATTACGTAATTGATTCAGAATGCGTATATGATTGCGGCACTGTGCATTATTGAAACTTTAACAGGTACACTTAACACTTAATAACTAGAACGAAGGGAAAATAGAAAATTTGTATAGTCTAAATTACTAAAATAAGAAGAGAAGTGACACAAGTTTTTACGTCTAAACGTTTTGTGAACGTTTGTCGATACTGCGATTGTTATGTGTAGCTGGCTCACGACCAACCTGAAACATCTGTCAGTGTCATTACGTCACATTGGTAGCACGGTTTTTTGACAGCGACCAGCTGATACTTTAGTGATGTGCAAGCTTTGAACTATTGTCGATCGATTTAGAATCTATGTCATTATTTAAACCTACGAAACTATCCTGATTAGTTAATGTTAATCTAAATTTAACAATAGTATACATCCGGCAACTTCTTGACAACTGACTGATAGACAAGGGAGCCTGCACAATAGCAATTTTACATACAAGAACATGCGCAGTGCGCAAGTTTATTAGTGTTTAGTTTTGCTATAGAAGTTAGTCGCTGCCGTTAACAATGTCCATAAAGTCCGAAAATTATAGTCTCTTGTCAAATTTGTTTAAGTTTAGAGATTCGTATCAGAATCAGACCTATGAGTTTGCTAAGAAGACTAAAAATGTTGTATAAAGCAATATAAATATTTTCTCGAATACGTTTAGTTAAATTTAAAATGATATTTGTAGGGACATATTATATTTTGTTAAGCTACGTAATTCTATACCCTACATCATGCCATACTACACCAAATTGTATTGCGTATATATATGTGTGTGTCGGCAGCTACGCCTGCCACATTTGTATATTTTACCTTAGTCGCAATAGAGCTCTTGAAACTTAAATGTGTTTTCTTATTTTCCAAATCCTTCTGAATACGGACATTATTAATACAATAAATATAAACTGTACAGTGTACGTGTGTATTAGACGATATTTTTAACAGTATTTTTTTTGGAAAAGTGATAAATCGTAAAAACACATGTATGCTGGACCTGCACCTATTCTTTCAGCGCCTATGTTACCGGCTCAAACCCCGCCACCCACCCAGGGCGAGCAGGCGTCAACAGAAGCCCGCGCAGACAGCAAGCATCAGCGTGTCGTCGAGAGTACCGGACTTTTGGGCAGATCAACCGTGACTCTGTTTTGTCCAATTTGAGACCGTTATAGAGAATCAAAAACTCGGATGCGCCCAAGCAGAACCTTGTCGTTACCAAACTTAGCAAAAGCGCCATACAGCAGGTAAGCGACCTACTTTACGCGTTATAAACCTCGGATCACGTTTGGACTTAGATTCAAGTCGGCAGGAGGTAGTAACTTAATTCCGCCTTGGTTATTTATTACATGTATGCTAACCATTGCTTATTTCTTCGTCTGTCGCACATTGTTGTTTCTTTTCACCCTACAAAAAAAACACTTACGTATTATCGTTTGTATAAAAGAAAAATTGTAAGCCGTATTTCCTAAATATAATATTCTTTCTTTGCCGTCTATATATATTATATAAGATTCGTAAGCTTTACAAATATTTATTGAGTTTTACAAAAGCCGCTATGATATATGTACCAATAAAATGTTAATTGAGAATGAAAGATGGGATGAAGGACATACGGAATAAAGTTAAGTCGTTCGTTTAAGATGTGGGTTGTGTTGTGGTAGTGGGGCGTGATCGAGGTGACGGTTATTTATAATGAATATATCATGTGGGTCACTTTTGCTCGAGACTTTGTAAAGAACACCTTCGACTTCAGACCACCATCTCGAACCACTAAGTTTGTAAACTTTTATTGCATTTACCTCCAATGTGATTGTTGGAATCTAAGTAGTGCAGTTTAATTTTATGAACTTATGAATAGCATTTTATTTGCGATTCCCAAGTACCCACAATGGAAGACGAACATAATCACGGCCATAGCGTGTCAAAGTGTGAAGTCGATCCGACAAATATATAACTAAAAAAATGATGGGTTGCACTCTGGGAGCGCCGGCAGAAGTGAAAACTTGAATATGAACATTGAGCATTTTTGATATTTTAAAATGGTTAGGGAATAATTTTGCACGAATTGCTTTAATTATCAGTATAAAAGTACTATCATGTATGTGGTAGAATACAATATTTATTTATTGCGCTATCGTACATGAACATGACAATTTATATAACATTAAAAAGGTTTATCTCTCAGAAAAATTAAATTACATGAATCACGTTTAAGCGCACTTAGCGACATCTATTGTAAAGAAATCAAATTACATGAATCAAATTTAAACGCACCTAGCGATATCTATTGTAAAAATTGCATTTTCTTCGCAATAAAACTACCACGTGGACGTCCTAGATAGAGACTTATTATTATAATGCGGTAAAATAAAATATTACTATGTTTCGTCCAATATATTGAAAGTCAACAACCTTTCCAATTTTATTGTGTATCATGATACGATCAGCACATGTGTTTAACCTGACGCGAGTTTAACATTTTTTACCCATACAAAAAAAGTGTACAACGCTGCTAAAGAAGTTTTCTCTTCAAAAATAACACTATAAAAATATTATCTCTCGTGGCATTTATATTTATCATATTAATTGAGAAAAGTGTCCTCCTCTGTTCTTCTTTTAAAGCTATGCCCAGTGTCTATATTCTAAATGTACTTTTTTTATTATTTAACAATAACACCTCTATGTACATGGTGGATGCAATACACACATTCGTGTTTTACTTTTCCTTTTTCATCAGTCAAACATACAATAAAATATAAGACCCATTAAATACAAACTCGACTAATGATTATGATTAGAACAATGGGACATCTCTATTATATCATAATGCGCCAAGGTCGTTCACTAGCCAATCACCACCTATTGCCAACTTCTGCCATGTTGATATGAAAGGGCGGCAACTTTGAAATATTTAATTTGATAAACCTACTTATTAATTCCATGAACTACATAAATGACGATTTTGTATGTTCTGTTTAACCTTATCTTTTAAATTATATACTTTATTGCATCTTACGAAATAAATTAGGTTATTGGTCATGAGTACGTACTTCATTCCACGTACACTACGTGTTTCATTCCATACTTACCTACGAATAGTGTTATTAAACAAAGTTTCTATTTCTTCTGAATTAAGTTCGTAGTATAATGTATAACCGGCCTACAACTTTAACTGCTACCTTAAGGGGTTATACGCAGTTAAAAAGTAAAAAAAAAATTTTTTTTCGTCGCTTTTCCGAATTTATATAGTATTTATTTATATTATATAGTATATTTTCAAAAAATTTCAAATTAATCTGACAAATATTCTTGGAAATACACGTAAGTACAGGATGTGTGTGGGTTGCTTCCCACACTTGATGCTTGCTAAGGGTAAGGTTACTCCAAGGAGTGCTAAATAAAACCGAACCGTTTGAATGTTGTAAAAACACTAATTTATTTCGATAGCTAATTGTGCAAAGAAAAATACAATTTCATGAGTATGCTTAAAAGTAATGTGGGTCAATTTGAAATCATTATAATGTACAATCAAGTAGGTATGTACAGCTCGTACAGGATGACTCCATGTGTAAACTTCTTTTGAAACTTTGAATGCGTTTTTCTGAAAACGGTATTTTCAATGTCCGTGAGCACAATTTCTCAAAAACGGCTCAACCGATCGGTCTGAAAATTTAACATCAATCAGTGCATGTATACTGCTGAAAATTGCTTAATTTAATTTATTTTTTCTTTTATTTTGTAAAGAATGATGGCAGTAGCTATAGAAAGCCATTCGTTACTGACCTTTGGTTACCACACCCCACTTCATTTAAGTTGTGTATGTAGAGTGTTGTCTATTTACGAATATAACTGAAGGCTTCAGCCTGAGGCGCAGGCACAGATGTGCCGCTCCTGCCATCCTCACCTCGCCAGACAATTTCTTTACGCGTCCTGACCTTTGGTTACCAAATCATCATCATCATTAGCCTATTAATGTCCTCACTGCTGGGGTACAGGCCTTCCCTATGGCTGGAATAGGGTGATTGGTTACCACACCCCACTTCATATTAAGGCCGGGACTCCACCAAAGCAGAGATGTGTGCGGTGTACTGTGTGCTGTGAGAGAAGAGATGTTTTTCAGCTCGGGTGGGAGACGTTGAGTGCTTAGCGGGGCTCTGCGGGTTGCTAGCGGGCGGGGGGGGGGGGGGGGGGGAAATTGACATCGCTCACATCTTTCGTCTCCACTGCGCGTCATCCGCGCACAGCTCACATCTCCGCTTCCATCGCGCCATACAAATGTCACACATATCCGCCCAGCAATCTCCACTGAAGCTGAGCGGAGAGGAGATGTGTCAATAACACATTTCTATTGGTTGTGTAAAAAAACATCTCCTCTCCGCTTTGGTGGAGTCCCGGCCTAAATGTAAGTGATGTGTTGTCCATTCGCAAAGATAACTGAAGGCTTCAGCCTGAAGCGCAGGCTGAAATATGTGCTGACAAAAAACTTTTTTTGATAACATGTTTTGTTAGTAAATCAGCGCAGGAGACCCGGATTTATTATCTTAACATATAACATCATCATCAACCCATGTTCGTCCACCGTTGGACATAGGTCTCCCCTAATGCACGCCACTGCTCCCGATTTTCTGCTACTCTCATCCAGCCCACTCCAGCGAGCCTACGAATATCATCATCCCATCTTGTCTCAGGGCGTCCTACACTACGTTTACAGAGTCGTGGTCTCCACTCAAGAACTTTCCGGCTCCAACGGCCATCAGTTAATTTATCTTAACATTAATCATTTTAATTTTAAAAAAGTTCCTTTTTCTGTTTCTTGCTATATTATCATGATTGTTATTTCGGTAATAAAGTGGTAAAACTAAAATTTGAGAAAAACGAAACCGAGTTTAAATAATCAAAGCCTTGAAATTACATAAAAAATAAGATAATCTGATAAAATAAAATGTTTATTGAATTACAATCAAATGCGTATGGAATCTTCATCAGTTATTTTTTTAGTTTGTTCTGGTTAACATTATGTTAGGATGTAAAAAACAGCTTTTTTATATAAAAAAATTATTTCTTATTTCTGACTATTTATTTATGTACACATGCACAGAAGCAGTACCCCTAGCACGAACCAAATTCGAATTCGCAACGTTTGCGAGTCCGAAATGTCATTGTCAAATGTGTACTGATTTTTAGTTCCCGTTACGTCCAAAGTCGCGCTGCTGTTCAAGTTTCCACACAAAATTTGACATTGACATTTCGGTTTGCAAACTATTCGAATTCGTTAATGGTTCGTGCTAGGGGTACAGTTCTTTTATAGTTGTAAACTTAATCGATTCTAATTCCGCTACGGTTCCAAATATATTTCATATAATGATTATAATTACTTTATTAAATACACACCGTCTTCCTTCATTGGTACAAAAGTTAATGTAAGCAAAAATACATTATACCTAATGCGATGTGTGTGATGCATAGGTACTTCGTATGGATATTCGTATTTGCTATTTGTAAACTTGACATCAGTCTGTCCTTTTCATTCCTTGTAAAGCATGACAAGGACAGACTGTTGTCAACTTTGCAAATAGAAGATACGAATAGCCAAGTGAAGTGCCGATATAACGCCATAATTTTGCAGGGCATTTAAACATTAAAATTATTTCAAATTAATCGCCACTTTTTTCACCTTTTAACCACAACTGTAGAAATCACATAACATTTTCATTTCATACTTGTGGTATTCTTACCGCACCGCAGTGCGCATCTAGTTTTAAGGCTGAAACAGACTTATGAAACGCGACGCCACGCCACGCGTATTTTCTTTGACCAGTGTGTGCGCATCTCGTAGTGAAAGATGTTTCTAATGTGCTTCTGAACATATATAACAGTACATTTGATTTGACTCAACATGCGCCGGGTTTCACGAGTCTATTTCGGCCATAATACTTGTTAAGAAGGTCCAAATAATTCTAAAACTGACTTTTTTTCATTGGTATCACAAACTTTGGACAATAAATATATATTGGGTCAATTTATCAGGACCATGCAAAATATGCAAATATGTTTCGCTTAAATTAAGTAGATCTTGCTCATCATATAATTGCGGCTCACCGAGACACGTACAATAATACAAAATAAGGAAATTTGTAATTTAGTAATTATTCTATTATTAATCAGATTTAAAAATTCCAACCAACAGAGAAACCAACAGCCATGCTAATGATAATAGGAAAAGAAATAAAATACCCAAATAAATGAAATTACGAAACCCATTGCAGCAACAACTTGCCAATAGGGTATTTGACAGTATTAAAAATAAAGTGCCAATTGTTAGCATTTGTGTTTAGAATGAATATTGGCAGGGGTTTTGCCTATTTTTACAAAAAAAATATTCATAATTTTACGAAAAAGATAATGGTTTTCTTATCTATTGTCACGTGACCCAAAACGATTGGGATTGGCGGAGCCTAAAATGACGTCACACGCAAGTGACATTACATTGTTTCGTTTGACGTTTTAATAAGTCGTGTGACGTCACACACTAGGAAGACGCCATATTGTCCAGAGAAACGTTTTCGCGGCAATTTGAAAATGGAGTTTTTTATTTTTTTTGTTGGTTATTTTTCCTGAAATACACAACAGAATGATGAATATCCATCTTTTACGGAGTCCATAAACATTAGTCAATAACGTGAGATCGTTTTCTAAAACTTGTCAAATACCCTATTCGTAATGTCAAAGTGACAGTTCTATTGTTGCCATATTCAAAACTTTAAAAAATAGTAAAGGCAGTATTGCGACGAATAGTAGGAAATAGATGCGTAGCTTGGTTCCGCCGCTAGATGTCGCTGGACGCGAGTACGCGTCGGGCGCGTCGTAAAAGCCAATCCCGTACCGAAATCAACACTTGTGTCTATTTTTAAACAAATAAAAATAGCTAGTAAGTATAAAAAAACACGCAAAAAGATCGTTTACAGTTTTATTATTATTATAAAAATTTATTAATATACAGGCGGTTAGATTGCGAGTCGGATGCTATCGCGTAGGTAAGACTGGTGTAGTTACAGGCGAGTCGGGTAGCAATCTATATGTCAACCAGAAGGACAGCAAAGGTTGCGCTATCGCGACGAACAGTAGGAAGTAGACGCGTCTCTTGGTCCCGCCGCTAGATGTCGCCGGTCTCGAGTACGCGTCGGGCGCGTCGTAGGCGCTGCCCCCGTACCCGTACACGGGGCCCGGAGCTGCGTCGCTAGCCTGGGACCCGGATAACACTTGTACGCGGAGAGTTTTCACCTGTTTTGCAAAGGTTTTTGGAGTTTACTTAAGAATCGATTTGCATATATAAGGGGTATATTAGGGGCCCGGTATGAGAAGAATGTGAGGAGTAAAATATATCGATGAATGACATTAATGACCTCGTAACGTTTTTGTGCGCAACCTCATCAGCGCACCTTTCACTTTCCACGGATAAAAAACATTAAGTTGTCACAAATGTCAATAAAGTAAATAAACTGAAAATAGATAAAATCGGAGCAAAATTAATGAAAACAAATAAATAACAGAATATAGAGAAATGCCGGTAAGTGTCCAGCACTCTGGAATAGTGATTTTCAGTACAGATGGAATTATAATACATATTTACAAAATGATGACTAGTGTGTGATATTTTTGAAATTGTGTGTTTCCAGAAATACATAATAAAATATATGATGAATATCGATGATGTTAGATGATAAAATGTGTGACATGGAACCTATGATAGTCGAAACCATGGGACGATTCCTGAGGTATCTCTACTTGTAACCGACTTTTTCGGACTTGATTTTGTTTTGTGTCTGTTCAAAGACAATCGTTTTTAGAGTGTAAACTCCGGTCGTGCGTCGGAGCTGACACACATAATTTTTTTTTCTTAATGTCAAAAGCGCCACGAACAGGGGCTCGCTCGAAGACATAACGGAATGAGTATTCCCTGTCCAAATGTATATTAAAATAATAAATATTTCCAACCTCACACCAATTAGCCTAGCCCCAAAGAAAGCACTGTAAGGCTTGTGTTATGGGATACTAGGGTAACGGATAGAATACATATATAAGTATATTTATATAGAAATACATATTAAACATCCATGTCTGAAGTACAAATGCTCGTATTTATCACACAAACATCTGCCCCTACCGGGATTCGAACCCGGGACCTCTCGAGTCGGCGACACCATGAAACCTGGCGTACAAGCCACTCGGCCACGGAGGTCGTTAAATTTATAATGGTGAGAAGCGATTGTGCAGTCAATATATTAGTTAGTATATGTACTTTACAGACAGGGGCGTATTTATCCTAGGGCTAAGAGCGCAGTGCCATAAACCATATAAAAGCATTGGTCACTGAACTATATTCTGTTTAATTTAGATTTGTAAAAACGCCCCCCTGTTTAAAGATGTATGCATTAAATTTTGTAAGTCAGAGTAAACTTGTCGACTACAACGGTCAGGATATGCTTCAGGAGGACATTAAGCTGTTGGTTCCGGCTGTATCTGCAGTCTTTAGCACACAACAATCTGCAATGAGTACTGGTTCCATCCAAGAAAATTCTGGGCTGCTGCGATGAGGACTTCATTGTCTAAAATAATGATGTGATAATTATTGAAACGAGGATTAAACCGAGGAGATCGATAGCGCAAGTTGTTAGCGCGTTCGGCTGCGATCGTCGAAGTTAAGCAACTTTCGTAGTGGTCGGTCATTGGATGGGTGGCCAAAAATTTACCATCTCGAGCTTCTCCCTGGATCGGGCGGCATTTCAAGGTTCTGGCTGCATCTGCAGTCATTAGCATCCACCAAACCACACTCCCGCGTGATGGGTCACTGCTCAATCTGCCTATTCCATCCATAGGGAAGGCTGATGTGCCCCAGCAGTGGGGACATCACTAGGCTGATGATAATGATGAATTATTGAAACTCACCAAAAAGTATGAGAGAGCCAGACTGCAATATATTAAACTGCAATAATACCCCGTGCCACCCAGTACCAATCCGCTGAGTAACGCCCCGATCATGACCACATATTTGTAGCCCGAGAAGGCCAGTAAGTCCAGGGTCCGAAGGTTGGTGCTGGTGTTTGTGATGTACAGGGTCACAAGGTACATTAGCATCTCGAATATTATGTATGCTAAGGCACTGGACGCCTGTATGCTTATTTGTTCCGGGGAGAATCTGTGTTGAAGACCTGCGAAATAGATAAATACCTACTAATAAAAGGAGACCCGGCACTTTTCATAGAAAAAATGCTAAATTTGTATACAGTTGAATTTGGTCTCAAAATAAAGCCAAAATTATTTGCTACATAAAACTACTTTTGCCTTATTTTTAGTGAATCGTGGAAAGAAGTTATATAATGATTAATATTTTTTGATATGGAAACCCTAAATCTTCAAGGGACAGAATATTACATCAAAATATTACTCAAGTGACTGTAAAAACTTTGATTCCTTTGCTTTTTCTAAATAAAAAACCAAATGTCAATTTGACAATCCTAAAATACAAACAAAAAAATCATTCGCATTTCGCATCCGCTCCCGCGTACTGTGATTGTGAATGTTCTCTGCTGTGATTGCCTTTTTATCCGTTATTTCTCTTGACGACCCGGCTACATAAAGAGGTTATATTGACAAACCTACGTATATGACATTGACAGCTAGCTGCTGATGACAAATATTGCCAGACTATGTTACCCAATTATGAAACACAGTTAAAAAAATTAAAAAACTATACAACTTTGGCACAAAATGCCGGGTGTCCTTTATGTAGGAACTTATTGGCGGGATCGGGAAGCGTCACTTTAGCAGTTTTGTTTTTCTTGTTAAAAATTGTGTTGTGGCGGATGTTAGTGTCTAATAATGGTGGATTATTAACTACTAAGTGTTCGGGAACATGCACAAGTGTTGGCAAGTAGAACAAAATAGCGGAAAGTGTCTTTCGACGTTCCCTCAAGAAGTCCACGGGGAGGTTCCAGTAAATCCCCACACTTTTACTGAAACATGGGGAAAGGGGGATTGACTTGACTGCCACTTACTTTGACCACGAACGCTATAGTATTTGTATACATTTTGACACTTGACATTGGCTTATATATACTTTATGCACAAACCGAGCGAAGCCATTTAGAAAAAAAAAATGTATGTTCCAGCAGAGGGTAAGAAGTATGAGCAATCCAATACGATATAATATTACTGTTAAACTGCATCCCCCTTATTAAAAAACGAAGAATAAGTATGGTTTAGTAACTCCTTGCTTTATGTTGTTATGGAAAATAAATTTAGAGGTTTGGAAAGTTATATAAACATAGAAGTATTTTCATGCTTATATGACGAGGAATAGTGCGAGGTAAAATGTCATTTACGTAGACAGCAGCGCCCTCTCCGAATGAGGATCATTACTAGGTCGAAAAAGCTTTTTAATTAATATACTATTTAAATCATCGCAATCGTTTCATTCGTCAGGATTTTATAACTAATATAATGTGGCTACCATTAAATTCACCGGCGACCGAACGTGTGACGTCACAGAATTCGATCGTGGTTCACTCCGGTGGAACTTCAGTAGCGTCTCTATGCACGCTCGCGCCCGAGCGCTGGAGCTCTGTGACGTCACAGAACTCGATCGTGGTTCACTCCGGTTGAACTTCAGTAGCGTCTATGCACGCTCGCGCCCGAGCGCTGGAGCTCTGTGACGTCACAGAACTCGATCGTGGTTCACTCCGGTTGAACTTCAGTAGCGTCTCTATGCACGCTCGCGCCCGAGCGCTGGAGCTCTGTGACGTCACAGAACTCGATCGTGGTTCACTCCGGTCGAGCTTCAGTAGCGTCTCTATGCACGCTCGCGCCCGAGCGCTGGAGCTCTGTGACGTCACAGCCACCACGTAGCCAGCCGAAAATTCGTTTAGTAATTTGGGTCATAACTTCGTCAATATTTGTAGTACCACCAACTTGTCGTTCCTCAATATTTGTCATAGAACAAAAATTTAACCACTGTATTTTATGGAAACCTTAGCGCTATAAATCTGCATTCTCAACTAAAATCATTACGGATCCTCATTGTCACTTGCATACATAAAGATCCTCTTCGTACGGTTTATTGGAGTGACTCACCTAATATGAATCCTGTGAGCAGGATGTAAGTGACATATCCCATAGCTGGGATATAGAGGTCAGGTGCGTTGAGGTCAAACCTCGGCTGCACCGGAGACTCCTGGTCGTACTTCAACATCCACTCCTAGAACAAACCACCTTTTAGATAAAAAAAAATGGGTGCGTGTACTTATGTAGGCGCGTGAGAAGTTATCCTTCTTTGGCATCGTTTAAAATTAGTTTTTAATTGCATGCAAATAATTAATTACAATAAATTAATAAAAAGTCTGGAAAAGGACAGTCAATAAAGTTCAGTTTTAATTTGAAAAAATAAATAAATAATCAAAATATTCAATTAAAATCGCTACTGAATATAATTTATTAGAACATATGTGATTTGCACTTGTATGAAACTCAAACACGTATTCCGAATATACAAACTAGAAACATGTGGATAAATATTATAAATATGAATACCTATAACTGTTACTTTATTACAAAAAATAAAGATGTGGTTTTTGGTTCTACTACACCAATGGTCAAGAGATGGCGCTGTAGTCTCCTGAATCGCGCTTTGGTTCCGTTGTTCCAGATTAATAAATACTTTTGATAGGCCTTCACAATGCAGTCGTTAGCACCCACTAAATAGAAATTATATTTCTATTTTGTTGGTAGATTTTCTTAATGTGCGGTAAACACAAAAGTAACGCATGAAGTTGGTCGCTAAAGCGATCATCATTATGTTAAAATTTTGTGTTACAGTGATGCTAACTGTTCACTCTCATCATTTTTTCATAACGCGCCTAAAGAAGTACAACTTCAATAATTATTTATTTATTTATTTATTATTGCTAGGGGACTATTAATTTGTTACGTTAGGCGATTTAGGGGGACCATGTCTTATTTTTTCTTACAACGGGGTGGGAGGATGTGTTAATAGTTCTTACGTTAGATCATTATTAATAACTCTGTTTGTATTTATACTAGGTGCAATCAAAATGCAGATGAACAATTAATGTATAATTTCACATTATGTAGTGGAAGGTGACTTCATAAATCATCTCTGAAGTCATTTTTCACTTGACGACTCTGTAAATGACAAAACAGGGAGAAAAAAAACAGCCCTTGCTGAGTTTCTTGCAGGTCCTTCTCAGTACAAGGTCTCCCGCCGTAGATTTACGAACCGATGGCGTAGCTTCTAGACATTCATATGTGCTTGTAACAGCCTAAACTGAATAAATGATTTTGATTATGATTGATTATTAAAAATGCGCAAAGTAAAGATAATACCTACTTTGAAAAATTAGTTTATTACTACCAAAATAATAAAAAATACTAGCACCTTTGTAGGTACAAATAATATTGCTAAAATCGGTACTTTGAAAATAAACATTGGAACAAAACAAATATGTAGGTATTCATTTATTTCTTAAGATTCTTCAGTACATAGTATAAAACAAAGTCGCTTTCTCTGTCCCTATGTCCCTTTGTATGGTTAGATCTTTGAAACTACACAACGGATTTTGATGCGATTCCTTAGAATAGATAGAGTGAATCAAGAGGAAGGTTTATATGTATAATAATTGCATAATAAAGTAGAGAAACACTGATAATTTAAGAGGTTTTTAATGTAAGGTCGTAAATAAACACATTTTTTTGCGCTTACATTGCAAACGCTGGCTGAACCCAACGAGATAGATCAAAATAATGTACTACAGTATTGTACACCTTAAAAAGGTCAACAAAAAAGTCCGCGATGGTATATACCTATCTCTTTGGTATAACCCACAATAACCATTTTTTAATTACTTATTACGAGAAAATAATGGCTTATTTACGAACAAGCGATTTTAAGCAATACAACATTAATCCTTATCCAATTAAGTACCTTAAATACATTGTGCGTGTAATATAGATCAATATGGCCCTTTACAGCATGTAATTTAAATGAATATTTTCGAAGATATTACAGATTTAAATTGCAGGAACATACCGGTTTGGCGGTACTGGCCGGGGGGGCGGCGGCGGCGCGTGTCTTTAGTAATTAGGTATTTAAAGAAAGTCATTGTGTTTAATAGAAGCTTGAGAACAAAAATATAGTCTAAACTACAGCTCTACACCGAAGCGAAGCGAGGGCGGGCCACTAGTACATAATAAATATGAAACCAGAGAAAAACTAGCAAAAATAGTCTTACATAATAAATGAATGGCCCCCTGCTACGCGTACTATACATTTTGTCACAAACGCTCTCGAATCAAAACTGCGAACATACTAGAAACAAAATCAAGTGAGTGTAGTCCGTTCTAATATGAGCCTTAGGCAGTTCGGCGTAAGGGTGAAAGTCAACGACTTCTGAACTTGGATACAAACTCATGCGCGTTACCTACGTATACTTAGGTATAATGTACTCGCAGGTACTAGAAAACTCTCAATTGAATTGGAATTTTCTAGAATGCGTCAATTGGCGTATATAAGAGCGTATTTGTTTCTTAGGTTTTCACGCACATCACTCATTAAATAAAACTAGTTTTTACAGGTTAATGCACGAAACATTTTTTATTTATTGACGTTTCGTAGCCTTTACAGGCTTCGTCGGAAGTCTGTAAAGGCTCTCGTCGTTCTTCGTCAGAATAAAACTTTTATTTAATTATAAGGTAGCTCGACAAATTAAATAAAAGTTTTATTCTGACGACGAAGCATGTAAAGGCTACGAAACGTCAATAAATAAATAAAGTTTCGTGCATTAACCCGTAAAAACTAGTTTTATGTACATAAGAGCGTTCGGCGCGGAGCATTAAACAGTTGAGTTTCTACAGCGATTTCGGAATGAATACAAAAGCGATCAAAGTGCAAGTAAAGTGTTCAAGTGCGATAGTTTAAGGAGTTGTATAGTGTACAGTGAGTATAGTATTGTTGTTCAAGAAAGAACTGTGTGGTCAATAAAGAACTGTCAAGCGTGAACTGGTATATTATTTCAAACCCCATCCTGACACGTGACAATGTACGTATATTATGTAACTCAATATAATCACGGCATAACTAAATTTTAAGTTTCAACTTCAACATTGTATTTTATAAATATATTTATATGTGTATGTTTATGTATCAATTTGTATTTAAGTCTTATTAATTTTATTGCTGTTATTATGTTAATTTTCATTTTATTTTATTTTTAGCAACTTTGCCCTATCGCTGTACAATTTGTCTCCAACGCTCATACTGGTTGACTGGTAGAGAACGCCTATGGCATTAAGTCCCTGTTTGCTCGTTTGTTTAAATAAATAAAACCGTCACCCACCTTATGTGTGAACGGGAACAATATGAGCATCAGTTTCCTGAGCACGTATCTGGTGTCGACCGCGAAATAGTATCGAAGCCGCGACACCGCCACGTACTTGTCCAACTGTTGACGCACCACCTCCTTGCCCTGCGCTGCCAGCTGATTGCCGTATTGGTATGCCATGTCCTACGACAATTATAAATAAAATAAAACTAATATTTCCAACACTGACACCAGTTAGCCTAGCCCCAAAGTAAGCATTGTAAGGCTTGTGTTATGGGATGCTAGGGTAACGGATAGAATACTTATATTTTACGTATATTTATATAGAAATACACATTAAAAACATGCATGACTTAAGTACAAATGCTTGTATTCATCACACAAACATCTGCCCTCATCGGGATTCGAACCCGGGACCTCTCGAGTCGGCGACACCATGAAACCCAGCGTACAAACCACTCGGCCACGGAGGTCGTCAAGTCGAGTTCTTTTAATGCTTTTTTCACTCCACCTGTTTCAATAATGTGTTTCTCCAAGACGCTTAACCTTCTGTTTTTCCTATCTTTCTTGATGCTTTTTCTAATGTTTCTACTTAGTTGGTTACTTAGTTGACGAAAGTAGTGATTCTCTTTTAGTCAATAGATTACATGTGTGTTCACTTAAAGATGTCTTAGGTCTATTTGTGCTATAACATTGCTTTTAAGTAGTGTTTCAAGTAAGTAACAAATATGTCATTATAGTTGTTAGAATTGAAATTAAAATTTATTTAAATCTAAAGAAAATATAACTAGGAAAAAATCCACACAGACCAGGCAGCAGACGGGACAGCTTTTTTTCTAGTTACTTATATTTTCTTTAGATTTAAACATCAAGCAGTAACATGCTTCAAAAATAAAAATAATAACTAAAATTAAATTAATTAATTAAAGTTTTATAATGCCTATACATTGAGTAAAGAGCTTCAAATTTACATTTAAAAGTAATCAATAAAAAAATTCAGTGTTTCCTACCCCTTATATGTTACTATTGTACTCACTTGAACAACAGGCTGTTGTAACATTGAACCAAGTTGTGCAGGATTAGCTATAGGTGACTGGGGGAATCCATAATTGAAATCTGTAATCAATAGACACAAATCATTTAGTGAACCTGTCCCCATAGCATGAGCACCACAATTTCCATTACATGACGTTTTTTATCACATTTAACTGTCAAACTCCATAGTAATTTGACAATTGATCATGATAAAAACGCGTTATATATCATATCACGGTTCTCATGCTAGAGGGGCTGGGTTGACTGTTAGAGCTATAAAGAGACATTAAATCTAATTATTTTAACAATATTAACTTTAACTATGTAACCGCTTGAATATCATAAGTCAAGGAAAGTGACTTCTTGAGTTATCTCATATTGAAGTCATTGTTCAATTTGACAACTCAGTATTTAATACAGGGAGAAAAAAACAGCCCTTGCTGAGTTTCTTGCCGGTTCTGTTCAGTACAAGGTCTGCTGTAACTTTGCGATCTGACGGAGTAAGCAACTCTTATGTACTCAAATTTAATTTATTATTGCATTGCATTGCATCATAGTTAACTAAAGGATTAGATCCTTGAGTTAACTATGATAATTTAGTACAAATTGGTATGTTACAAATATAATAAATTTCACTAGATATTAGGTAGGGAACAATGTATTCAGTTTCAAAATTTATTTCAAACACTGACAAATAAACAAAATATACTTTTTTTCTGGATTACTATGACCTGTAGATTATAGTTCTACTTACTAGCAGCAGGGGCAACAGAGGCAAAGTTCTGTGGATTGTCTAAGTGGATTCCCTCTTGATAGGGCGGCGGAGGGCCAGCAGGTGCAAAGCCCGGGTTGTACGCCGGAGAAGCGGGGAACTGAGGCGTAGGCGACGGCGCCCCCATAGCAGCCACATCGCTCACACGTTTAGCTTTACGAATACCACCCCCTTGGCCAACTACAACAAAATTTAGATTAACATACTGTCATAGCACACAGTGCCCACTACGCCTTGAAATATGCCGCTCACCATTTCTGGAAGCATTGAAATTCATTATTTAAAAGTAATATTGTATTATGAGGAACGTAAAAACATGCTATCGTTTAAAATTTAACTTAAAATAAATATTTCAGGCTATTGAAACACATCACCAACGTCGATTTCACAGATTACTAAGAATGGTTTGACCAAATTTGACGCAACGCAGTGACACACCACAATGACATTTTGAATGACTGAAATATAACTATAAAAATCTCCCTAAAAAGTTCAATTCGGTCTGACTTTTCAGTCCGAACTGAACTTTTTAAGGATTTTTTTTAAATTAAAAAAAAATGTGCAATTAAGATTATTTTCGTCCAATGTGACCATAAAACAGAATTAAATATATATTTAAATTAAACAAATATTTAATTTAAAACGTCGTGCCGACAGAAGTGAAAACTTGGATATTTAACGTTGCGCTTTTTGATATTTTGGAATGGTTAGGGAATAATTTTGCACGAATTGCTTTAATTATCAGTGTAAAAGTAGTATCAGTCATGTGGTAGAATAAAATATTTATTTATTGCGCTTTCGTACACAAACATGACAATTTGTATTAAAAAGTTTATCTCTCAGAAAAATCAACTTAAATGAATCACATTTAATCGCACCTGGCGACATCTATTGAAAAAAATGCATTTTCTTCGCAATAAAGCTGCCACCTGGACGTCCTAGTTAGAGACTTATTATTATAATACGATAAAATAAAATATTACTATGTTTCGTCCAATATATTGAAAGTCCACATTTCCAATTTTATTACTTTTTTCTTACAATTTTTCGATCAGGCCACGTGTCCTGACAAGAGTTTAAAATTGTTTACCCATTACAAAAAAAGTATACAACGCCGCTAAAGAAGTTTTCACTTCAATTATAAAATTACCTCGATAACATCCCAGGCCGAGCAACGCTATGTAAAATGCGGAGTCAGTCAGCTAGCGCGCGCTCACTGAGCTGTATTCTGCAAGCCTTCGCTTAGCTGTTTGCTGTAAGCCCTTACACGCGTGCATTCCCGACCATCACACCAAACCTTAACACTAGAGTTACAGTGGTGTCGATTCTGGCATGATACTCTAAACTTAAAACTAAATTTAACATCAGTACCTCCTTTTCATTCTGTAAAGAGAATGACAAGGATACACTGTTGTCAAATTTAAATTTAGGTTTAGAGAATCATGTCAGAATCGACACCAGTGTAGATTTTTTTTCCCGATCATAACACTAGTATAACAATAGTGTTACGGCTGTCAGTGACAGTCTGTCACACCATGCCTACACCAGTGTGAAAGTCGGGAATGAATTTATATAAGTAGTTATCTCCTTTAGTTAGTTATGTTGCTCTGCCCTGGTACATATATCATAAATTTTCCCCCATAACACCTCGTCTCGCACGGAATAGTGAATTTATTTCTTTGATGCATTAAGATTTTTCATAAAATAAATCATGTTGAGTGGCTTTTAACATTGAAAATGTTTTTTCATTCGCTCCAGTAGGCCCTCATTTTTCGCTTAAAGTGCGACTCGTTCGTGATACCCCGGGGTTAAGGGCCACGACGACGCATGAAGGCTCAAAAGACGCGGAATATGAAGAGCTTTAAGAAGATGTAAAATATATTGGAAAAGTCAAAAACCTTTATTTGGAATAAAAAATAAAGATTTTTGAGTTTTTCTTAGTCGAAAAAACTGACCAACCAAGAAATCGTGTTTTTTCGCAGAAAATTTCCGATATGTCGAGAACGGGGCCGAACTTCAAAATTTTGAAAAAAGAATCACTTCGGTATTGGTTTTCCATGCTCTTTCAAGTCGTGTAGAGCCATAGAGATGTAAGAATAGAGTGGGGAAGGCGGCTCTTAAAGTGTCCGTCTAGTAGAAAGAGAAAGAAGATGAGAGACCGCTAGCTATCTTTTTCTCTTGTGACGCATGGCATCACATCGAAATAGTAAGATGCTTACGGTTGCCAATACGCATGCTCGATTAGAGAGAGAAACCTAGCTGTCTCTCATCTTCTTTCTCTTTCTATTAGAGGGACTCTTCCACTTGTAGTGGAGTCTCTATCTCCTTTATTCTATTCTTATACCTCTATGTGTAGAGCACGAGATTTTTTCGATTTAAAACGGTTGGTGTTGATGATGTCAACATCAAAAAAATTAAAAAAAAAATTGGTGAATGTTGGCATTGTGCTAATGATGTCTTTTATTTTAATCTAGTGTGTGTTATATAGTAAATGTATATTAAATAAATGCTTAAGTATGAAGGTACCTACATACCTACTTAAGTTTTCGTGGTACCTAGGTAATGTACCTAGGTACTTTCTATTGATTTTCTTTATACTTACTAAGTAAAACGAAACATGACGTCAGGTGATCAAAAATTGACCATGATGAAGTGCAAAAAACATAGTTCTTTTATTTTTGTATGCCAGTTTTCAACCGTTTTAAACGATTTAGTATTTGGATTTATTTGGGGCTTAGACCATTAAACCACAGGACTAGCCTCGCAAGATCTTTCTCCTCTGTCAAGGTATAAGATCAAATGATCCAGTGCGTTCATAAAAACTACTTACAATCGATAGATTTCCACAGTGTGAGAATCGTTATCGTAGTGACAACAGCCCGTGTCTCCTCGCAAAAAAACGCTAACCTGTGCCGTTTTAACGTACAAAAAAAGATCAAACACCTCTAATTTACAAAAAAACGGGATATCATTTCACATGTGTTTTTTCTATATTTTAGTGCTGTTTTTCAATTAAAAATGAATTTTACAATTATCGAGAATAGAAACTTGCAAGTAATCGAGTGAGATCCAATTCGAATATGTGCCGAAACATATTCATTTAAAAACTGTTTACTGTTTAGCGCATGATGAGGCCATCTTTAAGTACAGTTATATTATATCCTAATACGTAAGCATATGTGTAAGTTTGTTTGTATTAATATAGCTGTGTTGATGGTCCATAAATAAATAAATAAATATGATTTTATACCTTATACTTGAAAAATAGAGTCCATTTTAGTGACCTTAACTATTTAAGTGCGAATATAGTCTCTATTGCATGCTCCCCACGAGACTAGCAAACGCACTCCCCACGAGACTACATTTTTTAATTATCAAGTTTCGACCTTAGGCCCCGCATTTAAGATTCGAAATAAAAATTATATAACTTGAATTGAGTGTAGCGAGACTATTTATTTACGACTTTTAAGTGATGAGAAATAAAATTTAAAAAATAATATCGATATAATGGTTTTTTGTTTTTTTGAATGCATAAGACACATTTACTCAAAATTAATACATTTTAAAAATCAAATAGTTTGATATTAATAATACATTTTTTTTGTTTTTAAGCATGTAATGGCCGCGTCGAAATACTTCTAGCCATTCTTAAGCTGCAAGGCAACGTCATCTCTTCGTATTGTAGGTAACCCACAATGTCAAATGAATACTTTTACAAGTATTAAACATTTGAAAGAAGAAATTGCAATTATAGTTATATTTTTTTAAAGCATGTAACTGTTTGTTGTTTAAATCTAAAGAAAATATAATTAGAAAAAAATACACGCGGACCAGTCAGCAGACGGGACTCGAACCCGCACCCTTCGCTATCCGGGCGAATGCGCTGACCAATTATGCTACCGCGGCCCTGATGGCCTCGTCGAAATACTTCTAGCCATACTTAAGCTGCAAGGCAGCGCCATCTCTTCGCATTGTAGGTAACCCACAATGTCAAATGAAAACTTTTACAAGTATTAAACATTTGAAAGAAGAAATTGCAATTATAGTTATACTTAATTTTTTTTAAGCATGTAACTGCTTGATTTTTAAATCTAAAGAAAATATAACTAGAAAAAATAATAATACATGCTTGTGCGTGCTTGCGTATGTATCTGAACGTAGAGTAGAGAAAAAATACGATAAGACAGCTGGTGGTTTCATGACGGTGGTGGTGGCAGGAGTGTTCATTAAAACAGACCAAATAAACCCAGACCCGAGGGATCTTTTTGGTAACATTGAAGAATTCACTATTCACCTCCTGGCTTCATTATCAGACTGGCTCAATGATATGAGATTATTGTATTGTCATCCAAATTACATACACTTACCAAGTTTTGAATCAATATGAGAATAAGAAGTAGATTGAATTCGACTTTCCAGATTTGTTTACCTAGTTCATTACAAGTGTGGCTAATATAAGTGTGTTAAAATATGATAAGTTTTGACTCGTTTGACATAAGCTCCTAAAAGATATGAAATCATCAACAGATCAAGATCTATATTGAGAATAATTGTAATAATCATAATAATGTTAAATAAAAATGAGTGTAGAAGATTATTTGAGTTCATGTTGTACTTTTTTCAATAAAAGTTTTAATCCAATGTCTTAAAATATTTTTATTTCATTTTAATTTACTTCTGGCCATTTACACTTACAGTAGCAATATTTTTTTATTGTCGAAATCGTTAAATTTAACACACATTTTTGGACAAGACTGTACCTATGTTGAAACGACTGTTTAACAGATAAAAAGAAATGAATATATATACATAAAACAAATGACATTTAAGATTTTCTCCCACAAAACGATTTTCTACGTTTAGCAAAAATTATAAGTGATTGGGTAATTGTGCCACTGAGAGTATTAAAAGACCCGGAGTATTTTTTTCCGTTGTCATATTTTTATTTTATAAAATAATCTTTGAGAAGAAGAAAAACTATCGATATTGTTATTTAAAGAAAACTAAAATATCGATACCGAACTTTCCCTAGTTACGATTACTTGTGATTGTCATTAGTGTGTGTAGATGAAAAAATATATTTGTAGGCGATTGTAACAATACAAATGACTAAGGCTGTGTGAGTTTATTTTAATGTAATGGTTTACCTCGTCCCCCTCAAAAAGTGACAGACTTTGCACTGAACAAAATTAGGCGCGTACTTAGTCCAGTGGTTTAATGGTCTAAGATTTGGGGTTTAGAACGGCAACGTTTTATTTAAAACGTTACAAATCGGTTGTTTTACATCTATAGTTGGCATCCCCGTCTGTCATTGTCAAATATGTCAATGTCATTCATATTTTTGTGTTGGTTGTTGTTTCTAATTCGCAATAAAAATTATTTCGATGCGTTGTAGTGGTCATATCAAGCTTATATCGACTAGGAATTCTTTGTGAATAAGTTTTCTTCAGTTTAATTCAAGGGAGACCAGTGAAAATTTGCAGTTATGGCTCTTACAAACGTCTTGTTATTGAGTCAGATAACTGGCTATATTATCGGTTTAATTCTTTCTCTTTGCTTAATTGTTCCTATGAGTATGCACCAGGATGAATTCAAGTTAGTGGTTATATTTAATTATATGATTTCATTTATCTTCCTCATAATAATAGCATCCGACAGATATTTTCCTCATAATTACATGTTTTGTGATATAATATTTATTTAGTAATAAGTATATTTATCTTATGGTGTCGATTCTGGCTTGATTCTCTAAACTTTAAACTAAAGGTTAAACTGTATTTCCTGGACCCAACAATTGAAACTGACACTGGTACTAATTTATTCATCATTTTTATCCGTGTATCCTTTTATGTTATTGTTATTAGACTATATGTAAAGTGAAATTATTTTTATTCATAGTGTGCTTGAAAAAAACAGACAATGGTATCGATTCAGGCATGATTCTCTAAATCTAAACTTAAATTTGACAGCAGTGTATCCTGGTCATTCTCTATACAGAATGAAAAGGAGAGACTGATTTTAAATTTAGTTCTAAGTTTAGAGAATCACGGCAGAATCGACACCATTATTCTAATTCTAAACAATGAGAAGTAAAAGGTACTTTCTGTTTGAAATCAAATGTGCAAAATGATTGTTATTGTTACTGATTCTGATTATATTAAATAACTATTATACTATTATTATAAATGTGAAAGTTTGTTTGTTACTCAATCATCAAAAGTACTGAACAGATTAGGATGAAATTAGGTACACATATAGTTTGATGTCCTAGATAAAATACTCTTTATCCTAGAAAAATTATAGGTTTCTATAGGATCCTCAAAATCTATAGTTAAGAAGGGCAAAGTTACGGGTGGTCGTTAGTCAGACATACAAGAAATTAACATTATCACTAAAAAGCAGAATAGATTATTTAATTGCCAAGCTAAGCTTGAGTATTAAAGTGACTTTATTCCCTTACTAGAGCTTTATTTACTGTATTTAATTTGCTTTATAAAATATTTAAAGGAGGTTACACTGACATAACATATAGGTTTCAAGGGTTCTGTGAATAAATTTTTCAATGTTGCCTAATTTATCTTGGGAATGTTTATTCCAGTGGTCACTGCCTGCTGTTCTCTAAAGGGGTGTGGCAGGAACTGGACGGACAACTGTTGGTGTCGTGGGCGTCACGAGTATACTGTGACTATGTCATAGCAGTGGGCGTGCTCATGTTCCTCGTATGCCTAGTGCAGATATACAGGTTCGTAAGCTTTATAACTTGTGTCTGTTATTATATCAACTCTTTTGGCTTTACAATAATAATAATGCCATTAATATCAGACTGAGATTTAAAATAATCTGTTGTGTGAGTGTTTAAGAATTGATACTGCGTAGTAGTAGACCCTTCCAGTGCCCGGCTTAGAGGTGTGAAAGCCCTGGGGCACGGAAGGAGTGAAGGCGCTTGACAAGGGCATATTTTAAAATCTGCCACCCAGGGGCCTCTATTGGTTTTTATCTCTGTTTTAGGAGGCCCCTCTCTTTAGCGGCTTCTCAAACACAACTCCGACTGCCTTAAATCCGTCCCTGGACCCTTGTAATTGCGAGTTTAGATACGAGAAAAATATCCATCCCGCTAAAATACTTGTCTTACCAGAAGACCCCATCAGTAGTGTTCTTTCGAGAGTTGTCGTCTCGCCAGCGTCCGCGTAACGACAACGCGGCTTGTTGTCTTGCTTTATTCCCAAAAAAATAACGCTGAAACTCACGTCGCGATAACGCGGACGCTACAGCGCTGCGTAAATCACCGTAGCGTCGATGTTGCGCGGACGCTGGAACGACGACGCTCGACCCGAAAGACGCTACGCTGGTCTATAACATTTCTATAAATTGTGTTACTCTATTAAGAAACTATTATGATGAACGCCAGCCAGCAGCAAAATAGTGGTTGAAGCGGGATGTTGTTCCATTATGGATATGTGATTTGTTCAACAATAATCAAAATCGCCCCGCGTTAAGAGTTCACAAAGTCACAGCTCTTTAGAGTCACCCGGGAAGTCACCGAGTTGTCTAACTCTCGCCCGCACGTGGACAGCTTGCGAATAAGGCAATGCGATGACGGGAAGGAGTTGATGTAGTGAGCGTATACTCATAGAAATCCAGATAAGAAATATCGAACACACGAGTTGAGGTGGTGCCAGGTGGGTCTAATGAGCTGCGGACCTTAATAAGACTTTCCATTTAGCGGGAGGTAACTCTAGCGCTGAACAAAACTCGTCAGGGATAGATGCGCATGGGTACGACTGGAGAGACAATCGGCGCAACACATCTTAATTTTTACTTCTGCGTAATAATAGTCGGCGCTAGAGTTTCGTGCCGCGACTTATAACTCCTAACTCCTATCCACAGATTTCTGCTTTTCATTTAGAAGTCATCCCGTCCCATATAATTGGTAAGGTTAGGTCTGATAAAAGATTGTTTTTTGTTTAATTTTCGTGAAACCAGGATGTCCGTGTTCCTGTACCGGGGGCAGGACAGCTCGTTCCTGTCGGCGTTCGTGGAGGCGGTGTGCTGCGTGGGTTGGTGCGCGCTGGTGGTGGTGGCCGCGGTGCTGGTGACGCTGGGCTTCATGACCTGGTGCACCAACATAGTGGAGAGGTTCCCCAGGTGACACTCTATGTAATGACCAGTACCGGTGTGCTGCGTGGGTTGGTGCGCGCTGGTGGTGGTGGCCGCGGTGCTGGTGACGCTGGGCTTCATGACCTGGTGCACCAACATAGTGGAGAGGTTCCCCAGGTGACACTCTATGTAATGACCAGTGCCAGCCGCCCGCGACCTCATACGCGCTTAGGTTTTTCAGAATCCAACAGGAAGCTGTCATTTTTCCGAGATAAAATATCATATGTCTTAATAGGGATGATGACTAATTTTTTTTCTTCGTTTATCAGATAGATTATCAAAAAGTATTGGACACGTATTTTTTCTTTTTTCACATAATATAAACATTGCAGAGATATATTGATTTGAAAAGTCGCATGACGTCACGTTTGAGTACACTTATAAGAGAAAATTCACTCAAAATTGACGTCACGAGCCCCTACTCCCAAACTTTGACGCGCTATAACTTTGTCATTTTTTGGTTGATTGCCGAAAAAGAAAATACCTGTCCATTATTTTTTGATCATCTAACTGACGGACTAAATAGAATTGCGTTTACTGTACCCCGTCATCATCCCTATTTCTTATTGATTTTTTTTTGTAAATTAATTTAATGTTAATTTATTGTTTGGTTTAATATGGTTGATATGCGTAATTTTTATTTTATTTATTTTTTTAATCTAATTCATAAGCTATATATGCGTATCAATTTGCATCCACGTCCGTTCAGTAGTTTAGTAGGATTTCCAACCTCCGATATGTAACGCGTTTTTATCACACTTGAGTGTCAAATTAATATGGAGTTTGACAGTTAGACCCGATATACAACGTGATATAATGTAAATTTCAGTGCTCATGCTACTGGGGCAAGGCTCCAAAGTGATACCATGTGTAGGGGCCGTTGGGGGCACTAGGACCCTAACGACTGTCAATATGTCAATTAGTCACAGGACGATTGTACACTGTCATATAATGTAAAATAACGTTATTAAACAAATTAGTGGGTCAATTGAAGTGAAGTGGAATTTAACAGTAAAATATGTGAGACATGAGAATAATCAAACACCTTTTATACAATATTTTTATGCAATAAATTATTATTATTATTAAATTATTATTTCCTTTATTTCATTAAATATACATACAAAATTATATTTCCAAATATTATTTTTTTACAGTGTATAACATTAAAAAAATAACATTTAAAAATACAAAAATGTAGTTCCCCATCGGCAGCAAGATTATTATTATTATTATTCTGTCAGCAGTTTAAAAGTACATCGACTCGGAATGCAAACATAATAAAATATAACTAAAATGGCTTGTACACTATGGTATCGCGTCTAAAAGATACGGTGGCCGTTTAATCTTAGGGGATGCTATTGACCATTTTACATAAAAATTTACAGATTATCCTGAAGGTCTACTAACTAAACTATATAGGTAATATAAAAGTCTAATGTCTATGTTTCATATAAGGATAAAAGTTTATAATCAAATCTTCTCATTACCACATTAAATAAGTGTATTTAATTAGAGTACTTAATAATTTTGGTAATTTTACTTCATAATGGTAAAATTAGTGTATACTCAGTGTTATGTCTCCGTCCATGAAATTACAAAGTGTCATTTGTATGATGTAAACATAACGCAGACGCTGCGAACTACTTCAAGATTAATGTTCGTTTTAGTAGGAGCCCAAGCAATAATAAATATTAAGGGAGTACAAGCGGGGATTTTGGCATTTACTCGAGTGCGGCAGAATAACATAAGGGGGCAACCTTGCACCTTGTAAAGTACACCCTCTATGCCTGAGCCCTTTATACAAGGTGTTACAAAAATACAAATAAATCTTGAAGGGCGTAGAAGTACATCATATAAGGAGTCTTCTCTAATTTTCTTAAAATATTTGCATGAAGTTTTAACTTTTTATAAAAACAGTTATTTTTAATGACCCTCGAACTAGTGACGTGTCTTAAAATGATCGATATTTTTATTAATCATTAAAATTAACTGTTTTTATAAAAAGTTAAAACTTGATGCAAATATTTTAAGAAAATTAGAGAAGACTCCTTATATGGTGTACTTCAACGCCCTTCAAGCTTTATTTGTATTTTTGTAACATTCTGTATATCAAAAATCATCAATCGGTCATGACTTCTGGTCGCGTATAATCGTCAGTCTTTTGATTAGCATAGTTTATGCATAGCAGCAGTATCAAAGCTCAGGTGTAGTAGGAGTAGATCGGAAGGTGCAAGGTTGTCCCCCTTATATTATTCTGCCCACAGAACACAGAAAGATGTTAGAAGGGCCTTGTGGGCGGGGCAGGCGCGCCACAGTTAGTTGTGAGCAAATGCTCATAACTTGACCAAAACTTGGCAACGATTGTTTTGTTGCGATGGGCTGTGAGCGCCGATTGGTTCGATTGTTTGATGTCACGGCGTTTGATTGGCTAATTTCTATTAGGTGTAAGTGTAGTGCGGGCGAGCCGGCGACATCGGTTCCCGTACAAAAGGTCTCTGAAGACCCTTCTAACCTCTTTCTGTGTTCTGTGATTCTACCGCACTCGAGTAAAACCGAAATTCCTCTAAAACCGAAAAGCTTGGGCTCCCATACTATTTATTATTACTTGTCTCATTTGTGAGCAGTGCCGTATTTGACCTACTGGAGGCCCTGGGCATATTAGGATAATGGGGCCTCTATGACTTCCGTTTGGTGATTTAACAGGGACTAGGGACTTTGTATTGGATCTGAGGGGGCCCCCTATTGATCGCGGGACCCTAGGCACTTGCCCAAAGTGTCCACTGGGAAAGACGGGTCTGTCTGTGAGTAAGGTTGCCAGGCCATAAAATGCAAAGGCCGGACTACGCACTATGTAAGGCCTGACATTTTGCCCTAAAAGCCGGACATATTTTTTTTATTGCCAAACATAATGTTTTTACAGCTGGGCTGTTGAAACAAGTATTTATACGTGAGAATAAGATCGAAGATGGGAGCTCTCTTGTCCGCTCGGACGTTCGTCCGCCCATCGTCGTACGAATCGCCACTCTGAAAAAAAAGCCTGACAAAAGTGGACAATGTATTTTTTAAACATTGGAATAAATTACATCGTTTTGGAAATGACAGTCTGAAATAAACATTCAGCAAATCCTATGTTATTTTTTAAGTAATTTTATAATATACACAGTTTTATTTTTAATTTTTATTATCAATTTTGTCATATGGGTCTTTTGCCTGAAATAAAGAAATTATTATTATTATATTATTATTATTATAAAAGCCGGACAGGCCAAACACGTACATTTTTGGCCGGACGCGACCGCAAAAAGCCAAACATGTCCGTGAGACACCTGGCAAGCCTATCTGTGAGAGATGTCGCGTGAACCAATATGTCCTGTGTGTTGTGATAGCTGAATACAGCCACCCCACAGTCTCTAAATTATGTTTAACAATGAGGGTAAACGTATTTAATTTCAGCTGTGAAGATGCGGCCGGTCAGGACATTGACAAGAAGGATGAAATATCAACAAACGGTTTCTACATGGAAATCGGTACAGCACAGGTGAGTGAACATTTTGTTGTTTCCGTCAGACTCATGTTTCATCATCATTATCAACCCTGCTGAGGCACAGGCCTTCCCTGGATGGAATGGCCTTTCGGATGGAATAGGGAGATTGGGCCATGACCTACCACGCGAGCTCAGTGTGGAATGGCGGGTACTAACAACTGCAGATGCAGACGGGACCAACGGCTTAACGTGCCTTCCGAAGCACGGAGGAACTCGAGATAGAATATTTTTGGTCACCCATCCAATGACCGACCACTGCGAAAGTTGCTTAACTTTAACGATCGCAGCCGAACGCGCTAACCACCCGCGCCATTGAGCTCCTTCAGACTCACGTCTGCTTGACGTTGCTCATAAATTAAAACGTTACATATTTAGTTACAGTAAATTATTTTATTGAATAAATACATTTTCCGAATGGAAAATAAAACGAAAATGAGCTGACAGGCTGTTAAATATTATTTAGCTGTTTTGATTGGTGGAAGGCAAAGAACTTTAGTCCATACAGCCTTAGGAAACAATCTGCCACACAGTCAGTTCAGTCGTTTCATATCGTGGTGCGTTCCATTCTACGCAAAAACTGAAAGAAAACACACGCTTTGTTTTTTCGATTTAATTGCAAGTTTTGTTAAAAGCCCCTAAAAGCCCCAAAAAATTCCAGCCCCTAAAAAAGTCCGTTTTAACCTTTCTAGCCCCTAAATCTGGGGGCAAAACCCCTAAGTTGGGAACCCTGACTATATGCGTACCAAATTTCATCCAAATGTTGTCAGTTGTTTATGCGTGCTTGTGTAACACATTGAAACATACAAACACACAATCTTTCAAATGTATAAATTAGTAGGATATTTTCGCCAATTTCTAATAAAAACCAATTTAAAATAGGAATATTTTGCGACTACGTTTGCGCGGAAATATCAATTTCTAATACAAACTTTCATCCCCTTATTTTACCCACTTTAAATATAATTTTCGCGAGAAAAAAAAATCCCATAACTGTGTCCAGGCTCTCATCTATGTTTATGTCAAAAGTAATTTTTATCGAGTCAGCCGTTAAGGCGTGTAAGCGTAACAAACAAACAAACTGATAAATCAAACTGATTTCCGCATTTATTAGTTAAGGAGGAAGGATATATGGATTGCAATAGTCATATGCTAGGAATTTTCTAATCTGAACACAATTTAACGTATTTAATTTGTCGTATATTTAATTTAACAGTTCGGGGCATGGGGTTTGTTCGCGACGTGCGTGGGTCTCGCTGTATTCTCCACGCTGAAGGTGTGCCGCTACCACCAGCTGCAGAACATCCAGGTGTCCATGTACAGGGAGCGGCAGAGGCTCGTCAACGAGGGCTCCCCACACCTGGCGCCTTAGGTACTGTACAGCTGTTCTCCACGCTGAAGGGGAGCCGCTACCACCAGCTGCAGAACATCCAGGTGTCCATGTACAGGGAGCGGCAGAGGCTCGTCAACGAGGGCTCCCCACACCTGGCGCCTTAGGTACTGTACAGCTGTTCTCCACGCTGAAGGGGAGCCGCTACCACCAGCTGCAGTACATCCAGGTGTCCAACTGTACAGCCGTTTTATCATTATCAAGAGTGGTAGGACATAGGCGGATTTTTCGGCTCGATTTGGAGCGCCCATCTGGGGAAGTAATCTCCACCTCACAGGATACCGTAGTTTAATAATCTGTCGGTGAGAAAGAATGCAGGGCTCCAGCGGGTCAATTATGCTTTAGTGATATAATCATAATGTGATTTCAATATGATGTTGATGCCAACTTGACATTGTTTTTAAATTGGTATTATGAAACATTCCTATGTCACATCAAGATCATATCAATATCATATCCTGTATCACATTTTTGACGTTTATGCGATACTGTTATATGTCAAAAAGTTGAACGTAATACGCATTTAAGTTGATATCATTTTAAAGAGTTGATCATAATAGGTACGCATAAGTTGATGTCATTTTGATATCGCATTTTTCGGAGAGCATAATACGTAATGTGAAATTGACATCAAAACAATATCACAATTAGCGAGCATAATTGGCCTGCTGGGATTGGGTCAGAGTAGGCAACAACGGCGTAAGTGATTTTTTGATGTGAGACTTCTTTTCGGTCTGGGTGTAAATGGAAAAATCCTATGGTAAAGATGAAACGGAAATGCGACAAGAGCGTCATACGACTATGTATATATAGGGTGAATTCCGAAATATACATCAGTATACTGGCCAGTGGTAACGACGTCACGAATCCGACGCCATATTGTACATGCAGCAACATGCAGGCCGACAAGGTGAGGATGGCTGGTGTGGCAGGTAGAACTGCTGTATCAGCTATCTTCATGTCTGGACTTCACCGTCAATTAACATTAGGTGGGGTGGAGTCATGCGTCGGACCTATATATAAGAATAAATAAAAAAAATGTGTGCGTGTACTAGTGTACACACGTAAGAAGTGAAACTTCTTTATGGCCTTATTTTTTTCGAAAAATGATCTACATGCAACTTTCCAGAAATATATATATAGGCGTGCGCTAAGATTTTTCAAAAACTCGCCCACTAAAGGGGTGTGTCACACCTTGTGTGAAACACGAATATTTGCTGTCGATACTTTTTTTTTAAAGTTGACAGAAGAAGCAATTGTTCGGATGAGGTAAATAGTGCTCTTTTAAAAAAAAGATGGCGCGTAACCAAAAAATGTGACGGTAAATTTTTTCCCGACGCCGATAAAGAAGTTTCACTTCAAAAACCTCCTCTTGACTTAATGAATGATGATTAGTAGAAGATCCGAACCTACATCCACCTTCACCGAGCTGATAATGGAATGAAATATATTTTATCATTACTTTAGTATATTACAAAATATTTTAAAAATGGGTTGCCTAAAAAAAAGCTGGACAGATTTTTAATTATATTTTAAAAAAACATTTTGCTACATAAGATAATAGGAAAATGTTGTGGTGACTTAAACGATAAACGTATAGATGGTGCAGCCGTTGGCTAACGTAACTGGCATCGATATACCTATCTATAAATAATAATAAATAAATAAATATTACCAACACTCACACCAATTAGCCTAGCCCCAAAGTAAGCACTGTAAGGCTTGTGTTATGGGATACTAGGGTAACGGATAGAATACATATATTGTACATATATAAGTATATTTATATAGAAATACATATTAAACATCCATGACTGTAGTTCAAATGCTCGTATTCATCACACAAACATCCACCGGGATTCGAACCCGGGACCTCTCGAGTCGGCGACACCATGAAATCCGGCGTACAAACCACTCGGCCACGAAGGTCGTCTATACCTGGCCTCTTAATTTTCTTAAAATATTTGCATGAAGTTTTTTTTTACTTTTTATAAAAACAGTTATTTTTAATGATTAATAAAAATATCGATCATTTTATGACACGTCACTAGTTCTAGGATCATTAAAAATAACTGTTTTTAAAAAAAGTAAACTTCATGCAAATAGTTATGATTTTATTTATTTTTTAAGCATTTAACTGCTAAATGTTTAAATCTAAAGAAAAGTTTACTACCCGGATAGCGAAGGATGCGGGTTCGAGTCCCGTCCGCTGCCTGGTCCGCGTGGATTTTTTTCTAGTAAACTTTTCTTTAGATTCATGCAAATATTTTAAGAAAATTAGAGAAGACTCCTTATATGATGTACTTCAACGCTCTTCAAGCTTTATTTGTATTTTTGTAACACCCTGCATATTGTGGCGTGTGACGCTCGTAGCGTTTCAGCCTTGACTTACTAAACCTCCTCTTTACTTAATGATGAACTCACAGAGAGAGCGTGCCACTCCAGCTGTCCTCGCCCTGTTAGCTTGAATCTTAAAGGGCTTTTAGAATCTTACATAAGGGAAACGCAACATCACCATTTATGTAAGCTAGTGTTATTTCACTGAGGTCTTACCCTACCTATCTCTCTCAAACCCTTTTTGCTTTGCTCTGGTATGCTACCATTGTTTTACCGGGAAAACGAATATGACGTATGACCGAGCGTGCGTGAGATGCATTCGAATTTTATTTCTTTTTTATTTAGAGAACAATAATGGCATCCGAACAAAGAGAATTCCTTTTAATTGATGATGTAAATAAAAAAATCTTCTTTATTCGCACTATTTTCAATATTTCGTCGATTTATGACGTCAGTGTACTGGCCTGTATATTTCGGAACAATTCACCAGTATAGCGTCGATTCAGAACGTCATTAGCGCTGGCCAGTATATATTACGGCATACACCCATAATGTGTGTGGGATGCGTGCGCAGCTCTTCCCGACGACCATGAAAGTTGAAGGGTAACTCGGCCAAGGCTGAAACGCTACGAGCGTCACACGCCACAATATGCAGGGTGTTACAAAAATACAAATAAAGCTTGAAGAGCGTTGAAGTACATCATATAAGGAGTCTTCTCTAATTTTCTTAAAATATTTGCATGAATCTAAAGAAAAGTTTACTAGAAAAAAATCCACGCGGACCAGGCAGCGGACGGGACTCGAACCCGCATCCTTCGCTATCCGGGTAGTAAACTTTTCTTTAGATTTAAACATTTAGCAGTTAAATGCTTAAAAAATAAATAAAATCATAACTATTTGCATGAAGTTTACTTTTTTTAAAAACAGTTATTTTTAATGATCCTAGAACTAGTGACGTGTCATAAAATGATCGATATTTTTATTAATCATTAAAAATAACTGTTTTTATAAAAAGTAAAAAAAAACTTCATGCAAATATTTTAAGAAAATTAAGAGGCCAGGTATAGACGACCTTCGTGGCCGAGTGGTTTGTACGCCGGATTTCATGGTGTCGCCGACTCGAGAGGTCCCGGGTTCGAATCCCGGTGGATGTTTGTGTGATGAATACGAGCATTTGAACTACAGTCATGGATGTTTAATATGTATTTCTATATAAATATACTTATATATGTACAATATATGTATTCTATCCGTTACCCTAGTATCCCATAACACAAGCCTTACAGTGCTTACTTTGGGGCTAGGCTAATTGGTGTGAGTGTTGGTAATATTTATTTATTTATTATTATTTATAGATAGGTATATCGATGCCAGTTACGTTAGCCAACGGCTGCACCATCTATACGTTTATCGTTTAAGTCACCACAACATTTTCCTATTATCTTATGTAGCAAAATGTTTTTTTAAAATATAATTAAAAATCTGTCCAGCTTTTTTTTAGGCAACCCATTTTTAAAATATTTTGTAATATACTAAAGTAATGATAAAATATATTTCATTCCATTATCAGCTCGGTGAAGGTGGATGTAGGTTCGGATCTTCTACTATATACGTTTATATAAATTACTATACAAATTAACTTAGTGAGTTGTACTTCAGCCATTTCATTGGATGCCGGCGTTTAATGAACAGCCTAGGCGTCCAACTGGCTACACTTTAACATTAGTACAGCACCCGGCCATTTATAGGTCTCATCGAGCTTTAGAAAGAGATAGTCGGTTAGCTTCGGCTTCGTATAGCGCCGTCTCTGTCACCCTTGTCAACCTGACCTGACTTGTCAGTCGTAGTTCAACGTCGCTAGGAGCAGTCGCGTTCTTCTTAAAATCTTTATATATATAATTCTTCTGTGAGTGTGTATGTCACTGAACTTCTCTTAAACGACTGGACCGATTTTGATGAAATTTTTTGTGTATGTTCAAGGGGATCTGAGAATGGTTTAGATTCACAATTTTGTCCGCTGGACAACCCCTATTTTTTTAGGGCGGTACGAAGTTCGCTGGGTCAGCTAGTATATATACAGAATTGCTAAAACAAATATAAAGATTTCGTGAAAGAAAGAAAAAAATTAAGGATGATGATGGCAGTAAATATTTTATGAGAGGCTTCGCATATCTATTAGTTTTTTGGATTTTGTTATTTGGTTGGTAATAAAAAATATAGATTTTCATTAAAATAAATAAATTAACATAAATAGTACATATAATATGTTGTCTTTTACCTACATGTTTTCTTTTTGTATTAATTTCTAAAAAAAAACTTAAAAAAAGTGTTTTGTGTGACAGAGATGACGCTCTACAAAGCCGAAGGTAGCCGAGTATCCCTCTCTAAAGCACGATGCGACTTATAAATGGCCTGGTACTGTATTTAATTATATTTGTTTTTTTTAATGTTGAATTTTGTTTTTCAGGTTTGCTGATATTCCAAAGTTGCGACTACGTTAACAGAGTTTGTGGACAAAGAAACGTTGTATTGTGATAATACTGTTTAGTGTACAAATTGTATTTTATAGATATAATATACTTTGTTATTAAGAAAATAATTATATTACGATTCAATATAATCGTTGTTAGGATTATGATCTCGTACATCACCATCGTCATAAATTTATAAATACTTACATTTCATTTAAAGATAAGTGAGTAAGTGCTTTTTAATAAAGTTAATACTTAATAAAACAATTTTTGTAACGGTTTTAGAATGAGTTTTAATACTTTTTTACAGAACTCGATACTTCGCATCCTTTTCAGGATGCATTCATCCTCAAAAGAGTAAATCATCCTGAAAAGGATACGAAACGTAGAGTTCTGTAATTTAAAAAAACAAGTGTGGCTTATGACCACACGAATGAAGTGAAACTTCTTTAGATCCATCTGTATGTATGTACAATACGTGTGGAATATATTGTCGCCAGCAGTGTTTCCTGACCAATACGACCCAAAAACCTTCTAAAAAAAACCAAAGCCGGCATCGCATTTGTGATACTCCAGGTGTTGCAAGTGTCCATGGGCGACGGTGATCACTTACCATCAAGCGAGCCGTCTGCTCGTATGCCCCCTATAACATAAAAAAAATGTATGCATGTACGTACATATACCTATTTCATTTACTAGCTATAAGAGAAAGAGAGAAAGAAAATGTGCGCGTGCACTGCTTTCTCTTGCTTATATCCCCCACTCAACTCCCGTTGGCCTCACCCGAACACACTTTTCGTAACGCGTAACGCATTCGCCAGCTTACCCCCCAAGTTAAGCGTGCGTAAGGAAGTTTCACTTCAAAACGTATTTTAAACCAGCTGGAAAAAATGTTTATTTTAATAGGAAGTTGTTTAACAGATGTATATTACATTCATTTTACATATTTTTAAGGTTTTTTTTTAATTGTAATTATAATGTTTAACAGATGTAAATTAAATTCTCTATCAAAATCGTTTTTTATGTATGTAACATACACGTTTCACTTGGCTCATTCACATTTCCTATTTGTAAACTTGACGATAGTTCCTCCTTTTCACTCTTTATCTTAGATTAAAACAAAAAAGGTAGATACGGTACGCTCATACTTGCATCAAACAAAAACTGATCCCACGGCAGCGCGAACGGGACGGCGAGATCCGCGTCACTGCATTACCGACCCGAACGAAACAGCACGTTAAGTTTCAACGGCAGCGCGAACGAGACGGCGAGATCCGCGTCACTGCACTACCGACCAATCACGCGACCAGTACTCGACGTCACTACCGAATAAGATCCAAAACAAACAGCAATTTTTATGAAAAAATATATTTTATAGTACATACGAATGAAAAGTGATGCCCAATAAAACCCACGGTTTTATTTTTAGTTCTTGAGCAATTTGAGCACTTTTTAATAACATACTTAGGCATTGTTTTATCTTATAAACACAAAATATTATCAATATTTCCTTTTGGCGTTCACATGTACGTCGTTTGCATGTCAAGTTGTGACTAAAGCGATTAGGGTCGTGGACCACAATTTGTGCGGATCACTTTTGTGAGGCTAGTGCCGTATCTACCCTTCTTGTTTTAATTTAAGCTCTTTATACGTACTTTATACGACAACCCGTTGTCTAAATTACAAATAGCAAATACGAATAGCCATATAAAAGTGCTGGCATGAGATTTAATATATTTGGATATAAATAAAACAGGACTGCTGTTACCAAAGTATTTTATTTACATTCAATAACAGTCGCGTCACTTAAGCGCAACCGCACATTGAGCCATTAGTGGCGGCCATTAACGCAACCACAAGCTGAGGACGAGTTATATCATACATTTCTTATAGTATCGGTGCATTTTATACCGGTCAATAAAGTCCCAAGCAATATACAACAGTTAACCTTAAATAAATTTAAAGATAGTATAAAAAAAGCACTTATTAAAAATATTACGAAGTGTCTAATTATATTACAGACAAAAATGCTTGGGTTTGAAGTGTTCCAATCATTCCAACAGGTTTTCTATATTAAATAAAGCATGATTGTATTGACGTTGTAACAACAAATTGTTTTTAGAAAATGTTACATTATACTTTTAATGTTGTAGAGTTTTTGTCGCTCGTTTTTCTCCGCAGCTAAAAAAACGTCCAATACGAGTGACGAGTGGTAGAGGAACAGAAATAACTATTCAAAAGAGTTATACTATACATCCAATTTGAATATAGATATATTGATTTATTATATGTATATTGATTTAAAGCTCACTACTTACTTGTGGTCACAGTAACACAATGAATTGTATGTCTATGGTTTTGAATTCGTCGTTTTAAATTTAAGTGTATACTCCGTGAGATCTAATAAACCCAGATTGACACAAATGACAGTTGCTCTTTGTATAAAAAAAATATTGTGTGTAATAAATCAATAAATTTATATATATATATATATATATTTTATTAACCACATCACGATTTCTCTTACAACTTACATACATACATGCATCGTAACGGAAAATTAAAATTTAAGTTTAAGTGCATCAGACTAGTTATGCCATCCCGGAGTGGTGGCTACGTCTAGTGGCTTGGCTGAGCCACTAGCTGTTGCGTTTAGTGGTTCAATGTGCGGTCGCTCTAACTTAACGATTCGTAAAGGAATGCACTAACGGGTCAGTCTTTTCATTTATAACTTTTAATCGGATCGCCTTATCTTTGGCTTCACTTACAACTAGCTACTTACATATAACAAGAGATGAAACAAATAATAAATAATAACAGTAAGGTCAATCCTAAACAAGATTATGACAGTATTAATCTTAAGAGTGTAAACACAAAAGCATACAATAGAGGATTTCCGATTTGATTCTGGACGTATTTAATACATACATAAGTTAAAATAAAGAGTGTTGTTTGTGCTTGACAATATTATGAAACAAGTTATAGTAATATATAAAAAAAAATTGGAGGATTTGACTGGAGTTTACTCCTTAAATTCGATAGTCTAACCAGACGCAAAAAGAGTTTATTTAACTTAAAAAAGATTGATACTGTAAATAAGTCGTATAGTACCAAAGGCGGCAAAGTAGGGCGAACCAAATATTTGGCAAATCAAAAGAAAACTGTTTAGTCTCGTCTATAAGGGAGGATAAAATATTGACATTTCACTACGATTTGTAGTTATGATGAATGTCAATTATAAAAATCCTCCCTTAAAGACGAGACTAAACAGTTTTTTTTTGATTTGCCAAATATTTGGTTCGCCCTACTCTGCCGCCTTTGATACTATACGACTCAAATGCCATATCCACGTTTACTTCTAAAGCTCAATGGTTTTGTGTTCAACGAATTGCGCGGTGGTACACCGACGCGGTTTCTTTGTCGTCGTAGGCAATAAAGGCACGCTACGATACAGCGTAGACAGTAAAAACGTAACGAGCTCATTCATCGATAGATTTTACTCCTCACATTTTTCTCATACCGGGCCCCTTATATATGCAAATCGATTCTTAAGGAGCAACCTCCAAAAAGATTTATAAGATGAAACATAATTTTGTCTACTTAAAGAAAAAAAAAAACACTGCACACTGCAATAAATATCACAAAGTTAACCGTCCGTTTTGGGCTCAGGTTATCTTATCACACCGCCTAGACGGAATAGGGATGATGACTATTTCTTTTTCTTCGTTTATCAGGTAGATTATCAAAAAGTATTGGACACGTATTTTTTCTTTTTTCACATGATATAAACATTGCAGAGATATATTGATTTGAAAAGTCGCGTGACGTCACGTTTGAGTACACCTATAAGTGAAAATTCACTCAAAAGTGACGTCACGAGCCCCTACTCCCAAACTTTGACGCGCTATAACTTTGTCATTTTCTAGTTGATTGCCCAAAGAAAAAATACGTGTCCATTATTTTTCGATCATCTAACTGACGGACTAAACAGAATTTCGTTCACTGTACCCCGTCATCACCCCTATTCTGTTCGGCTGCACCACTCGTATCTTCCTCTTCCGCATGTTTATTCCGCGTGTGCACTTTCAAATAGCGCAGCTGCGCGAAATGCAGCCCGCATCGTTCGCAAACGTGGTCCTGCTTCTCGTGCGTGCGCGCGTGTCGCAACAAATCCGCGTGCACGTTGAAACTTCGATCGCATTTTCCGCACTCGTGGTCGCGTCTCGCCGCGTGTCTACTAGCATGACGGGCGAGTTGAGTTCGCCAACGAAACGCGCGCGGACACTGTGTACACTTCCATCGCTTCACGCCGCCGTGCGTTTGTTCGTGAATGTATAAGCTCGCGCGCGAACCGAACTGTTTGCCGCATCGTTCGCAGGCGTACGGCCTCGCCCCGCTATGGATGTGTTCGTGCTCGGCGAGTGTAGCTTTGGTGCCGAATCTCTTCCGGCAGACGGTGCACTCGTGTTCGCGAGTCTGTGCATGGAAATGCTTCATGTGGTAGAAGTAGCTGGAGCGCGCGGCGAACTCTCGCCCGCATATGAGGCATTTCTTCGTCTTGAGCGTTTTTTTAACCTCCCCGGGTTCTTTAGTCGGTTCGAAGTCGACCGTCGGCGCGATCGATTCCGGCGGTCGACTATCTTGAGAGTCCTCTATCGCTTCGAACACGGACTCCGGGAGGGGTTCGAATCCGTTCTCCGCGTCGCTGTGGTCGGAGAACTCGTCCACGTATCGCGGGGCAGGGCTGGGTTCGTCGTCGACTTGCGATCTGTCAGCGATTTTAGCGGTCCTTCTGTTGCATTTTCTTCTTTCGTCGTTTTCGTTCTCGTCTCTTCTGTCGGTTTTGTTGTTCAACAGCATTTTGGCTCTCATGACGGGCTTTTTCTCCTGTTTGGCGGCGTACTCGGCCGCGTGTGTTGACATGTGCAGGATGAACTCCTTCCTGTCGACGTAGGTGTCGCATTCGTCGCAGTGGAACAGACAGTCGGAGTGCAGCGCGACCAGGTGTTGCTTGTAGGCATGTTCGGAAACGCGCGCGGTGCAGTAGGCGCAGGCGCGCGTGTAGCGGGGCGGGTCCAGGTTGCGGACCAAAGCCTCCATATCCTTGAACCTGTAACAAAGCAGCCGCGTCATAACTTCTTCGAATCGTATTTTTTTCTCATTGTTTTAATCTGCAGTCGGCTTTATAGCTATAGATTGGATCCGCTCCGTGATTGTAACGTTTGAGTGGACATTCCATTGAACGTCACCGTCGAGAACAGTAATAAAATTTAAACTTTCTGTTCAAGGTCCAGGACGTCATCTTTTCGGGCGTTTCACATTGCCACTTGAATTTAGTAGGTCGTTCGCCAGTTCATTTGAGTTATTATTCAATATCTCTTTGTATCTCTTGCTATTTTTGCTGCTTTCTTTCTTAACGGTGTGCGTCTCCAGATATTCATGTATCTCCATATTTCTGACGAGCTTGAGATGGTTCTTAAAGCGATATTTTGGTATTTCTGTAAGACCTCGACATAAAGCGCTTGCAGAGCCCCGGAAATCTATATCGCGTCTACACTAGTGTCCCGATCGCGTTTATCTCGGAGGGATCGCGGACTTGCGAGTAGCTACTTCACCGTATGCGTCCGCGCGTGCGCCGTTAGCTGGCTACGTAGACGGAAGCTGCGACCACAGATGCACGCATGAGCCTTCTCCCCGGTGTGGACGGTGACGTGGGCCCGCAGCTCACTCTTCCTCTTAAACTTCGAGTCGCACTCCATGCACCGAAACCTGCACGCGTCGTGCGTCACGCGGTGCATGCGGAGCGCCGCGCTGGACTTCGACGCCTTCCCGCACACGTCGCAAACGAAATCTCTGCTTTCGGAGTGGGATCGGACGTGGTCTTGCAGATGGCCTCGGCGCGAAAAAGCTTTGCGACAGACGGGGCACTCGTGCGGTCGCTGGCCCGCGTGGACGGCCCGCGCGTGCCGCGCTAAGTTGCCGCTGTCGCCGAAGCCCAATCCGCACGCGTCACAACTGTACCGTTTCTCGCCGCGATGGCCCCGCGCGTGCCTCTTCCAAGAGTTCGCGGGGACGCTCTTCCCGCAAATCCCGCACTTCGAATACCGCCTGCCGTCCTCCGCCACCAGAACCGTCGGCGGCGAGGCGGCCGCACCGCCTCCGACTTCCTTCGGCGCCTCGCGTACTTCCATTTGCGTCCCCGACGTCCCGGGCGGGCCGGCGGCTCTGCAAAGGGAAACATCACGGAGAGGATTCTTCGGATCGAACGCGCTCACAACGAAAACGCCACGGGGATGTTAATAGTTTCCGACGCAGGTGTAGGACGGTAACTCGGGCCGGGGCGGGGGTTCGAGCGGGTGCGTGCGGGCCGCGTGCAGGCGTAGCGCGCGCCGGTGTCGGAAGGCGGCGCCGCAAAGGCGGCACGCGTGCGGGGGCGGGGCCGGGTCATGGGCGCGGGCGTGGGCGGCCAGCTCGTGTCGCAGTCGGAAAGCGCGCGGGCAGAGAGTGCAGGCGTGCGGGCGCTCGCCGGAGTGTCGCAGCGTGTGGCGCGCGAGCCCCGCCCGGAGCCGGAAGCGCGCGCCGCACTCGGCGCACGCGTGCGGCATGTGCGCGGAGTGCGTCTTCGCGTGCACGTGCAGGGAGCCGCTCTGCGCGAACCGTTTCCCGCAGTCGGCGCACGCGTACGGCCGCTCGCCCGTGTGGATGCGCAGGTGCTGCTTCAGGTTCTGCGAGTTGGCGAAGCTCTTGAAGCAGAGGCCGCACGCGTGCCTGCGCGCCCTGTCGTGCGTCTCGGTGAGGTGCCGCTGCAGCCCGTTGGGCGCGCGGAACTGCTTGCCGCACACGTGGCACACGCAGGGCCGCTCGCCCGTGTGGATCCGCTTGTGGAACACGTACGTGTGCGACGAGCTCAGATTCTTCCCGCAGACGGAGCAGGTGTAGAACACTTTTCCGTTTATTTTCGTTTGCGCTCCGCTCAGTTCGAGGCGCGTGCCCTCGTCCATTCTGTCTTTCCTCATGTTGCGGTGCGATAGATCGTCGTAGCGGTCCACGTCGAGGTCCTCGTCCGCCTTCGGATGGTTTCCGTCCGTCGTTTCCGAGTCGCTGGAATCGGACGACTCCGAATCGGCGCATTCGCGGTCGTGCTCTTTCACAAAATGGTTTCTGAAGTTTACCAGAGCTTTGTAAAAGTTGTTGTACAAGTCTGTCGTCTTTCGGCTTGCGAAATTCGAAAGCGGTTCGTCGTCCTCGTTTAACGACTCGCAGCTGCTGCCGGTGTCGAATTTATTATCTAAGTCGATGTATTTGCAAACCGCTTCATCTTTCACTTTCGTTTCGATTTCGGAGGAACTCTGTTTAGGACCGAGTCTGTCCAGGCAGGATTTCGACCTGCAACAAACGAATCGTCGTTACTTCGCGCCCTCGATTTGTGAGTGCCTAGATGGTAGTCTAAATGACTTTTTTTTCTGAATCTACTCGGACACATGTGACACTGGTATTTCCTTATATCTAGATGCATATCGAGGTGTCTATCGAGTGAATTCTTAGTTCTAAAAGATTTATCGCAACGTTGGCACGAGTATGGCTTGTCTCCAGAATGTATTCTCTTGTGATTATCGCACTCGAAACGGTTGGGGAATGCTTCGCCGCAAAATATGCAAGAAAATTTTAATATACCGTCATGTGATACCCTTTTGTGAATCTTTAAGTTTCCTGAATTGCTGTAGGACTTCCCACATTTATCGCAAGGGAATTTCTTCACTTCTTTTTCGCTGTGGCTTTTCATGTGCGTAAACATGTTGTATTTATTCGAAAAAGTTCTATTACACTCGGGGCATACTGCTGGTATATATTTTTGGTTCTTTTGACTCGGTTCCTTAATATTTTTCTTGTGTGGCTTTTTATTGTCATGAACCTCGGTTACGTGCGTTTGGAGTGCGAACGAGTCCTCGGCTTCGAAACCACAGTTGCGACAAATATTATTAGTATTCTCGTCGAGATCACGTGACACGTGGTAGTTTTGTAAATGTTGGACATACGCTTTCTTGTCGTAATAAGTTTCCTCACAGCATATCACTTCCTTTTCTAAGGATATTCCTAAATGTCGACTCAGATGGCACGTGAGTCGTGTGATGGAAGAGAATATATTTTCACAAAACGGACAGAAGAAATTCTGTAAGGTATCTATCGATTTTTCAGTGCGATTAAAATCTGTAGCTTCTGATTTGACATCTGTATCAGATTGCGAATCATCTGAGTTAAGTGTTTCTCTGAATGTGATATGCTCTATTATAAACTGTTCCAGAGTTTGACTGTTTGTGATTGCAGACGTGTGAGTTTTTGTGAAATGTTCAGTTAATTCTGTTATACTGCTCATGGTTGCGGGACACTTGTTGCACACACAGTCCATGTCCAATTCTTCACTGGCAGTGAAAAGAGTAGGTGAGCAATCGAGTAATACTCCTTTTATCATATCAATAAGTTCACTTTGTGATCTGAAATAGGACATGGCAGTTTTGGTAGCTCTATGATTACAAACTAGCAGTACATAATACAAATAATCAAATTGCATTAAACTACATATCTGTGTCGATTCTGGCATGATTCTCTAAACTTAAATTTGACAAGTTTTTTTTTTTCTTAACACTCACATCCATTAGCCTAGTCCCAAAGTAAGCAAGGCTTGTGTTATGGGATGCTAGGGTAACGGGTAGAATACATATACTGTACATATATAAGTATATTTATATAGAAATACATATTAAACATCCATGACTGGAGTACAAATTCATCACACAAACATCTGCCCCCACCGGGATTCGAGAGGTCCCCTCTCGAGTCGGCGAAACCATGAAACCCGGCGTTCAAACCACTCGGCCACGTAGCTCGTCATTGTTGTAGGGACACATTATATTTTGTTAAGTTTATATAATTCTATTTACGATATATGTATAGTATATGTATTCTATCCGTTACCCTAGTATTCCATAACACAAGCCTTACTTTGGGGCTAAGCTAATTGGTGTGAGTGTTGGAAATATTTATATTTGTTTATATGCCCTACATCATGCCTTTACTATACCAAATGTATTGCGTGTATATATGTATGTATATTAATTTATACAATTTAATTTGAGTCGCAAAAGAGCTATTGAACCTTAATGTGTTTTCTTATTTTCCAAATCCTTCTGAATACTTACAGTAATGCAATAACATAAACCGTACAACATTGTATCCTTGTCATTCTCTATACAGAATGAAAAGGTGAGACTGGTGTTAAAATTAGTTTTAAGTTAAGAGAATTACGCCAGAATCCACATCAGCGCTAAATAGTAATTACTTATACTTACTTTTGTGGTTGATTTTGTGTTGAGATTTGAATTGTGTCCTTATTGATTGTTTTGGATTTCTGCAACAATAGAAGTGATTGAATTTTATTTACATTGAATCAATATATTTCTAATGTATAATACTACAAATACTTTCGAGTTTATAGTCACTAAATCATTTGTTCAATAAATAATAAACAAGCCTGTAAACTTTTTAAATAATGTCAGCCATTTTGACTCTCCAGAACTAGATGGTAAGAAGAATAAACGATCATTCCACCTCGTAAAAGATGGTTTTGTGTACTTTGAAGATGAAATTCGATTAGAAAGAGTATGTAAGAGATTTAAGGAATAACATACTGTATAAGGACACCGCTTGAATTGGAGAACCCGTCTAGGAAGAAAAGTTGTAGTTTTTCTAGTGCTTGCGAAGTCTTAGCACGGCGGCAACGACCATATCCATATATTAGGACCTCAAAATTTAATTAGATTTAGCAAGCATATATAGTTTATCAACTAGATTGAGACAAAAAGGATACTTTTTATATGGGAAAAATGTAAGGTTTGGATATTTATTAAGTTTGGTACTGATAGATAAGACACACAATTGTAAATAGGAAAAGCAATATATATAGTTGTCACGGGAACTGCTGCCGTCAAACTGTATTGCAGTTTGGCAGAAATATAGTTATTAAACGTTTTTCTTTGCAGGAAAAGCATGTAGAGCGATTGATGCATGAGTATTGTTTGTGGTTTAAATGGGTAGTATCCTGCACTTGTCACCAAACCCTGGATAAAATGAGTAGGAGTAACATATATCTCTTTTCGGCCTTTATAGTGAGTGACCAAACAAGAGTATTGTCCACTTTCTACTGGGTAGACTCTGCCTTGTTCATCGAGCTCTAGAAATGGATGAAATAGGCAGGAAGGAGGCCGCAGACACCGTCTTGTTGCTCCCCCGGTGGCCAAAGGATGCGGGGTATATCGAAGACGTTAAAAAACTGGCTTACTGTACTCTGATACCTGGTTTGGGGCCTACCCACTAAGCGTCATTCAGTACATACATGGTTTGTTTGAAGTACTTCTCCGTTATAATTCCCATTGGTTTCAAAACATTTACTTTTCACTTATAAACTGTGACAGTGGTCTCTTGTCCCACGGGGACCAGCCGGATTAGGACGTTTAGTGTGTTTTGCTTTTTTATTCATTTTAGGTATCTGGTTGATGAAGTTCCGCTTGCCGATAACGGACAAGCGACCACTATCCTCCAAATAATAATAAACAAAAACAACAACTTTCACAATACAAAGGTCCCAAAAGGAAGACACCACTGAGCCAACACATAAAAAGCCTAAAACATCATTGAAAGGCAATAAAGCAAATAGAAATAAATTCTACATATCCACTCTTAATACGAGGACACGAAGAAACGAAGAACACCTAGCAGAATTACAAAAGGCCCTGAAAGTAGTGAATTGGGATATAGTCGGACTGAGCGAAGTAAGGCCAATGGGGGAGGAGATAAGGGAATACGACGACTATATATTTTATTTTAATGGCGAAAAGCAGGGAATGTATGGAGTTGGATTTTAGTCAAAAAACAACATAAAGAATATATGGAACAATTCACAAGTAAGTCTGATAGGACTGCAGTCCTCAACATAAAACTACCCGGAAAAAGCTGTTTCGATTATACAAGTATATGCACCAACTGAACAAAACGCAGAAGAAGAAAAAGACCAATTTTACAACGCATTACACCAAACGATGGAGGACACACATCCAAAAAATTTTGATAGGAGACTTCAACGGCCAAATTGGAGCAGCACAGGAAGGCGAAGAACATATAATTGGTCAATATAATACAGGCAAAAGAAGAAAAGACTATGCAATTTTGCAATGGAAAAAATAATGAATAGTATGAAATTCAAGAAAAAAACAGCAAGATAATGGACCTGGTTCACTTCTGATGGAAAACATAAGAATGCCATTGATAAATGATTTTGATTATTATTGATTATTTATTCTAACCAACATGCCTTACCAATTTATCACACACTGAAGAGGAGATGGACTAGGCATATCATGAGGTTGAAGAGGAACAAGTGGACAAAAGATATCATGGGGGTACCACCCCCCGAGATGGTAAACATAGAAGAGGTAGACAACACAAAAGATGGGAAAACGATCTACCCAAGAGTTGGCGATGAGCAGACACAGATAGGAATCAATGGGCCAATTTGGAGGAGGCCTATGTCCAAGGACAACCTCATTGTACATGTGCCGATGTCAGCGATTAAACTAAAAGTTTTAATTTTAAGTTACTTTTAACATGTACAGCTGAGAACAAGGGCTATTTTTATTTTATATTTATTAAGTGTGACAAGGCAACACAAACATTACATAAAAAAATTTAAGAGTGACACCTTCATGACATGACTTTTTTTAAATCCCACGGTAACCTTACATTTTCCTCATATATATGATTGAGGCATAGGATAAAGTATATTGTAGTATAGGATACTTTATCATCATATACATGCATAATAAATTTCATCCAAATCCCTACAGTAGTTTTTTTTTGCACGATTGATAAACTAACAAACTCACTTTCACATTTATAATATAAGAATTAAGATTACCATTCCTCCTGTGAAATTATTATTTAAAGATTTTCTCTAGAAACATGCCTGGAAAGATTACTTACACTAGTGTCAAAGGGTTGGTTTTGAGTCGGGTCAGGGCCTGCGATGGCGGAGACGCGGGCACGTAACGCGTGGTCGGCTTGCAGGCAGCACTGCACCAGCTCGTGCCACGCCAGCAGGGTGCTCGCGCACTGGTAGCACACCACGCGCGGCAGCACATCCTGCTCTGACACCTGACATAAACATAAATGTTTTTATTTATTTTTTAAGCATTCAACTGCTAGATGTTTAAATCTAAAGAAAAGTTTACTAGAAAAAAATCCACGCGGACCAGGCAGCGGACGGGACTCGAACCAGCATCCTTCGCAATCCGGGCGAATGCACTGACCATGCTACCACGGCCCTATTCGCTGCGTCGAAATTTTCCTAGCCTTAAGCTGCAAGGCAGCGCCATCTCTTCGCATTGTAGGTAACCCACGATGTCAAATGAATACTTTTTCAAGTATTAAACATTTGAAAGAAGAAATAGCAATTATAGTTATGTTTTTATTTATTTTTTAAGCATTTAACTGCTAGATGTTTAAATGTAATGAAAAGTTTACTAGAAAAAAAAAATTGTTTTATTGTCATCCAACTGTTCTTTTCAATTCTTTGAAATAGAAAATGATCCGATTCATTAAATGTTTGTTACAAAAACAGTATTCGATGAGGGTGTTTATGAAAATATACCAGTTGGCGCCACTGTGAAGTGAGGTCTTTTGTATAAAGTTTTTGGTGCGAAATAATCGAACGACCGTTTAAATTGATCCATAGACCTGAAGATATATGAGATTTGATGGATGAGTAGACCTTTCGTCTCGGTACGGCCACCTGGTGTCCATCATTCCAGAAAGCCCCCATTGATTCAAACAAGAATATTGAATTATTCACCTACATTGTTTTATAAAACATTTTTTGAATGGGTATAAACAAATGATCCCCTCCCTCCCTTCAGTCGTTCGTTGTAGGGAGACCAATCGTTTATATCTAAGGAATATAAGTCTTAATTTTTTACCTTTTTGTATAGCATCAGTGAAGACATTGGAATTCCTGCATTCTCATAAATTCTTTTTAAATTAAATGCAATTAAAATGTTGATTATGACGAGACTAATACAATTAAAATTTAGAAAAATTAAAAATGGAATTAAAAAATTTACAATAAAAAAAAAAAAAAATGAGTATAAGAAGATTAATACAATGTAAGAAAGTGTGTATATCTGATTTCCAACACATGAAAATATTCAGTTCAGTTGCAGATTTTAAAGTTGTAAAACCCTGTTATTAATCCTCCTCTGCCTGTTTTTTGTTAGTAGGCTCAATCCATGCTAAATCTCATGGACCTTACCTAATAGCCCAAATAGC